ATATATAAGATATTAGGTAGTTTTATATAGCCCTCTCTATCCTCTTTATCCTTTCTATCCTCTCTATCCTCTCTATCCTTATTATTATTACTGTTATTAGTTTTATAACTATAAATAGCCTTAAAATCACTAAATCTATTAATTTTATTAAGATTAGCCTACTAAGAAACTATCTAATTATCGCTAGATCTAATCTCTATTATACTATTAGTTATAATTAGGGGGGTAGAATAAGAAGAGGTTAATAAAGAAGAAGAAGAGATAGAGCGCTAGCTCTAGTAAGAAATAGTATACTTACTATCCTAAGTATTATTATCTTAAGTATTATTATCCTAAGTATTATTATCCTAAGTATCGTTATCCTATTAAGTACTAAAAGATATATCTAGAGATATTAATATATTAAATATTATTACTAGTACTAGATCTAGGAGACTAAGAGTAGATCTAGACTATATTATATACCTTTTAATTAATAATAAACCACTAAGCCTACTATATATATTTATAATAAGTATAAGTAAGCAATTCGATATTAAAAAGCTCTCTTAAGATAAGATACTACTACTATTAGAGACCTAGAATTAGATAATAAGTCACCCTTTTAATAAGGAATTTATAGTAGCTATAGGATTTAAGATATAGACTCTAATTAAAAAGGAGATATTCTTATAGGTTCTAACCCTAAATAAGAGAGGTATATAAGTCTTACCCCTAAAGTAGGTATTTATATATAAATTTAATATAGATAGTATACTTAAGAAGTTTAAAGTATAAATATATATCCGCAGAGATCTTTAATAGATATCTACCGAAGAGAAAAGAGCCGCTATACTAGCTATTAAGACAGTAAGAGTAATATTTATATTAATAATAGTCTTTAACCTTAATATAAGATAGTAAGATATTATTATAGCGTTCTTAAACTTAGTCCTATAAGGTAAGGTATATACTAAGTACCTACTAGGATTTAAATAAGAGGGCTATTACTAGCTATTATATAGAGTTCTCTATAGATTATACCTATTATTAAGACTATAGTAGTAGGAAGTAACCTAGATATTAGTTAAACTAGGCCTAATTCCTATCCTTAAGGATCCCTATATCTTTATAATAGATAGGATTATTATCTTCTTCTATATAAATAATATTATTATTATTAACTACCTAAATCCTATATATACTAAGAAGGCTATATAATTAGATCTAGATATTAAGAAATAGTAGGAATTAAGAGAACTAAATACTAGTTAGTTCTTAAATATCTATATTATTAGAGATAGAGATTAGAAGAAACTATAGTTATATTAAAATAGCTATATTAAGAATATAGTAATAAAATATAACCTTATTACTATAAGAAATATAGGATTACTACTAGGAATTAAACCTCTAGTCCCCTATAATAAAGTAGCTATACCGAGTTAGATTTATAGTTTCTAGGCTAAAGTAAGATCTACTTAGTATACCACTACTATTATAAGACTAAATACTATAAAAGTAACCTCTAAAGTAGCTGAATTCCTAATAAATCCTAGTCCTAAGTATATTAATATTATAGATTAGATTATCTAATACCTATATAAAACTAGGTTTTAGGCTATTAAGTATAAAATTAGAAACTATATAATAACCGAAATAGGCCTTACTATTACAGTAAAATCTATTAAATTTATAAATAACGCTTTATTCGGAGATAACTACAATAGAAAGAGTTCTAAAGGTTACCTCTATAAGCTATATAGAGGCCCTATAGACTAGAAGGCGATAAAATAAAAGACTGTTACTACATCTACTATAGAAGCAGAGCTCCTTATATTAGCAGAAGTAGGTAAAACTGTCTAGTAGTGGTACCGAGTCCTCGAATCCTTAGGTTTCAAACCTAACTATCCACTCTCTATTATATGCGATAACTAGCAAACTGTCGATTTATTAATAAAGGAGGGAGCGGCGATACATACAAAGCTGCGGCATATGGATATTAACTTAAGTAGACCTGGCAGTGACCCTCCATTTGGACCCGCCAAGACGCTAAGGAGGGTCCAAAGTCCGGATTCTGGACCCGCCAAGGAAATTATGCATGCATAACCTATCCTAATTAGGAAATAATATGCTTATAAACCATGATTTATATATATTTATGTCAAAATTTAGGTCTTGGCGGGTCGCTAGACCCTCGGAGGGTCCAAGGTCATGGACCACCCGGAGGGTCACTGCCAGGTCTAAACCGATGCTGGATGAAATAGGAAGTTAGTGAAGGTCGAGTCTATGTCAATTGGATTCTAACTACCGATATGCCGGCAGATGGCCTTACAAAGAGCTTACTAAAGCAAAAGCAATACCTATTTCGAGTCCTCCTTGGGATGAGAGACATTAGTGAGCGGATCAACCAAGAAAACAGAGGTTGATCCTGCTAACTATAGAGAAATGGAGGAATTGGAAGATGAAAATCATCCTGAAATTAAGAGAAAAGGCAGTTATTAAAGGCTGTGAATACCTTCAAAAACTGGGGGGTATGTCGAAAGCTATATTACAATACATGACTGGGAACCCGAGTATTCAACACCTCGGAAAATATATGGACCGCTATGATAGTGGGCCCCATACAAATTGCATATTAAGCTTAGTCAGTTATGCCCCAGCAAATTGTCAAATAGGGGATTCTTGTCATTTTAGTTAGTTAGAGTCATACACATCTGTCATTTTGAAACATACATTGCTGTACCGGTGATTTCCAACACTATCTACAGCAAAGTGAATCTCCAGGGTTGTCCCATGTAGATCCTTGACTAATCAGGTCCCCCTTGGAACAAAAGTACTCCGCCTATCTCGTCCATCACCTCACCTATCCCTTATAGGCCGGTTATTCTTCTTCCATTGGGCATTGCCTGAAAATACTTCCCTATAAAATGATGTCCTTCAAGGTAGACAAAACTGTTTTCCTTTACATCTTATTCATTGTGGTAAGATATTGGAGTTCCAGCCTGGCGATGACCTCTGTTGACAAATTTCGCTACTAGGGAGGGGCCATCTCCTTTGTCCTTGGAGCGTGAGTTATTGCCTGCTATATCACATCTATAGCGTACATTAAACCAAAATAGTGACTAATAGCCTTCTCCCGGAACAGGATATCTTGGTCTCGCACCGTCGCACTGCTTCTTCCTTTGCCGACATGGGTTCCAGCCGTCGCAACCCTCATATCCCCGATCACAGGACTCATACTAATAGCTACACGAATCCTGTCTACACGTTCAAATAACGAGACAACTCGCAATTATCGATGGACCGCAATATCTGGCATACTCGATCAGGTTCAAACAGTCATATCGACCATCGTGGCCACAGTAGCAATTGCGTACCTCTTCCCCGACAAAATCCTCTCATGTAACCTAAATCAACAATGGCAAGAGTTCTTCCAGTCGAAGGACTCACACGCTATCCGGTCAATCCAAGACGAACTCCGATGCTGTGGTCTTCGAAGTATTCATGACAGGGCATGGCCATTCAAGGACCGGAACCATGGGGACAATGCGTGTGAGCTACAGCTGGGATATCAGCGGAGTTGCTTTGCCCCTTGGAGAGAGCATCAGCAGCGTACCTCTTGGATGGTTTTTGCGGCGGTTATTTTTGTTTTTGCGGCTAAGGTAAGTTTACCTCGTAATACCACAGTGAGGTTTGTGGTTGCTGATATTCTGTAACTCTTTACAGGTAGCTTTTGTTCGGCTTTCCGGGAACCGAACGAGTTGGATGAGCGCACAATCTGCCAGCCGGGGAGCGGACTACCAGCGTATTTCTCACCCGGTGGTGCGGGACGAAGGGGACGACGAGAATGGTGTTCATGAACCGCGGAGGACATTATTACCCCAGTCAAACACTGAGTATAGCAATGACTGGCGGCAGGCAGATTGAGTCCGAGAAACTTCTACCTAGCTATGGAGGAGTGCATTATCAGTGCAAATCCTTGGCCTATATCCGGATTGAGTAATATCAGATATTCATAAAACTTTTGCTCAGATAATGTCAGCATCTGTGAATTTAGCTTTACTGCGCCCTCTCCCATTGTTTCCCACCAAAATCACACTGTTACAAATTACGCTAGAGGGCATATCTCATCTGTCAATCTATTTACCTTTTAAGAGTTACTGTAAATTGTAGTAATTATGTCGTCCACACAATCTACATCTTTCGAAGAAATCGCCATCCTTCTTATACTCTCACCTCAAACAAACCTCTTCAATACCAATCTTGAGAACAACCTGAACGGCAATGAAAGTGACTTTCGGGCAGCCAAATGCCAATCACTTCTCTATTGAATTATCATTACAACCAGTACACATGCCCTCGTGAACTCACTACCTGTTCCGTTCACTGTCTAGTTCAGATATTTGTCAATGGCCAGACTGTATCAACTTATTCACTGTTTAATGGTCTAAGAAGGCCGGGGCATTTTTGGTTTATTAGCCCAGGGCACGTCAAAGATAGACGGTGGGACAACTGCTTGTGCGCGCCTCTCCTTTTCCAACTTTTCTGCAGCTATCCGAGAAGCTTCTTTTTCCAACCTCTCTTTTTCCAACTTGTCTGCAGTCATCCAATAATCTTCCAATTCGAATGCCACATATTGCACACTGATCCTCGTCGATAGAGTCCGCAGCCAATCAACAATATGACCCAGGAGATCGTACTCGGTTTGAGCTCGCTTAGCGAAATCGCTATACCATTCTTCCCGGGCTCCTTCCTTCTTACAATGAAACATCGAACCAAATTGCGCCGTTTCAGCTTGCTTGCCAGGAACCCATCCATGGCTAACTGGTATTATGCAACACCAAGGGCTGAACATAGTTTGTTTAAAATGTTGCTGATATGTAGTACTATTCGGTAAATGTTACCAAATCAATCGTCGGTAGAGAAAATAAGGAAGGAAGCGAGAAAGCGTATCTTAGGAAGGTATACGTACCGCATGTAATTAGAATAAGCATATCCAAACGAGAGCCAGTCGTTGGCCGGAACATCAAATGTGGTTATTTCCATATTACGAAGAATGTCTAATCGCTCTGGACCGACAATCCTTCTATGAGATAAATTCTGTATAATACCGCCATTTTCATTCAAGAATTTCTGAATATATCTTTCAATTTGCGCCTCGGTTTCTTCTTCGGATTGCTTGGACTTCTTGAGATCTTCAATGTCGGTAAAGTTAGCATCGCCAGAATCTTACCCCTCTACGGAAGAAAGGGAAACATACTAATGAAAAGCAGGATGTTATCGTTTTCCTCTTTGTTGCTCTGATTCTTTCCCCAGACGAGCTGGGGGCAATCGCTCAGCCCCAAAAGGTTCTTCCGAAGATTTGCAAATGAGGTCGCTAGCCGTTCATTTCCAGTCTGAACAAAGAAAGAGATCATTTCGATATTAGCCTTAAAGCTAGAATATGGCTGCGGAGGCAAGTAATATTGGGAAATGACTCCCATAGGGTACCAAACACCTGCAGGCGCAACGGCAATACGCTCAGCAGCTCTCGCCTGCATCATGCTTTCTAAATGAGATTCATCTTTGCCGTTTATATCTTTCGATTTATCCACGTTATACTTAGGCTTCACGGGTGTTTTGAATAGTTGGTGCTCAGTTTGAAACTGCACGGAATCCGGACCAGGATCATATGGTCGCAGCCCAAAGAAATCACAAGATAGATGGTTGAGCTGACTTGTGTAAACTGAAATGACCTCTGTTGCATCCTCCACGAGCCTTTCTAAATGGTCTGCGACGTTATGAACGTTGGCCTCTCGAAGTAGCTGGGGAGAATTCGCTTGAGTGTCTGATTTCCAGAAGAGTAACCCGGCAAAAAATGGATGCTCGGAGTCGTCGTCTTTTTGAAGCCATTCTCCACAGGCAGATATCAATTTGGTCTCAGTAGTGACGTGATTTAAATGGGGCGAGAATGCCATCTCCCATTTAGCTTTGAACTCTGCTTTCTTATATAGCTGGGTAGTAGATAGCATCGTTGAAAATTTGAACGAAACCAGCTCGAGGTAACAGGCAAAACCAAAGATATCAGAGGGTAGAGCAAGCTGTATACAACGATTCGATATCGTTGAAATATAACCCAGCATCATACTGAATCCAAGAGAGGATTGAAATAGCTTCCAGGAATGTTGGCTAATCCACTGGATTAGGACGATGATCTGCTGATTTGGTGAAGTATCGTGTACTGATGCCCAAGATAGGCCTTGAAACCCGGGAATTGTCGACACGAACTCCAAAGACTTCCCCCACAGTAGAGAGGCAGGCTGTGATGGCTCTAAGATATCGACTCCGGGGTGAAAGGAAAAATGGAGAATACCAAGGACTGGATGAGCTGGCAGTTGATCGACCTCTTCTGAAAGGTAACGTATGCTTTGGAAACAAGGCCTGATTTCCAGACATCTGTTGTACATTTTGAAGTCACCTTGGGTGGGGGGGATCTGAAGGTGATGGTAATTGAGCAGTCGAAAGGTGTTGTGATATTTCCAAGCTAGTAAAATTTCCCGCCTGGGCAGGTACTACCTAGGTATGAAAGAAGCGGAGGTTACTCGGGGCTCTACAACGTATGAAATACATACAACATATGTAGATAAAGGCCCCTGTTTTTTTAAAAAAAAGAAACATTCCAAGAAAGGGGTTCCCGCTGTGCCAGGTTATTCGAGTGGGTCCCGGACTCGGGTGTGACTACGGCCCCATACATCTAAACAGAAAGCTTTCATCTTTGCATCAACTTCATACCCATTTTTGTACTACAATACGATGCAAAAAAAAGAACTCTAAATTCAGAAGATAAAATTTTAAAGGCTCTTCAAGTCTACCATGAAAGAAAAAACCTAAAATTTGCTCCATTGGCGCGAGCATTCTCGGTTCCGTACTCGAAGCTATACGGTAGGATAACCTTCTACTTATGCGCGCCTCTACTTTTCCAACTTTTCTGTAGCTATCCAAGAGGCTTCTTTTTCACGCACATTATCCCAATAGTTTGATTTACTTTACTGAGAATATAGCTGCGATTGGCCAACGAGCCTACGACTATTACGAGCACCCATTTCCTTATTTCTTAATTCTACTTTTCAGCAAGTCCAATTCTAGAGTCCCGGGGCATATTTCGGGCTACAAACTGGTAGATGGCGACTATGGGCCCTCCTCGTTCAAATGGCTCTTCTTCGAAAAGAAAATTAATGCCTCAAAAACAAGGTCGTTGCAAATCCAATTTGATGAAAAAGGCACGCGAATATAGTAAGTTGGGTGTGTGAAGTAGACGTCTGCGTCGGGATTCGCCTTCTGGAAACGGGCCAAGTGTTTATCCTGTCGGCGGATGTCTCGGGATTTTGAGGATTTCTTGGGTCACAACTAATCGTCTAGGTATATTAGCCTGTCAACTAGGTAAGGATACCAGTGCCACGCAGGATTTAAAGAAAAGAGGATAAATCGTGTTGGTACAAAGACTAAACCATGGGAATCCCTTCAGAGTGTTACATTAGAGTCCCGGATGTAGAGGATGGCCCGCTCCGGCGGGGGTTCCCGGCAGAATGAGGGCATATTACCCTGGGACTGTGACTCGGCAAACAAGAATTTAACCTTTTCCATTGTTTCCAAGGTTCCAAGATTTCTATCCGTGTGAATTAAGTTTGAGCCTAGCCTGGGTAGTCAAAGCCTGACCTGGTGTGGTTGGGTTACTTAAGCTCAGTCAGAGTAGTCAATTGTCATTGCCGCAAGAGGGAGGATCTCCCACGGTCCTAAATACAGTTGCGGATGCCCGTGGGTGTGACCAAGTAGTCATGATAACCTTGGAAACTATCTGAAAACCGGGACGGAACCTACTGGTTCCGCTGAGCAAGGTTTCCCCAGATCTGGGTGCCTGGGGCTCCCGGGTCGGATATCAAAACCCGGGCGAATCTGTAACAGATTGAAAGAATTGGCAGAAACTAGGTTACATGTGGCTCATGGGGTACCCATGCTCACACCCTGGAATTTGGTGGCAAGGCCAGTTGGCGCAATGTTTGTTTGGTTGATCCCAGAGATATCTTTGAGTCCCACAGAATGATCAGCTTTGTGCCAACCCAAATAATCAAGGTAGCATCGACCTATTATCATGTTTCTTGATGTTGGTGGTACATGAATAGAATCACTATTAAATGTGTCCCGAATGTCCTATATCTCTGGTTCCCGTGCTTGTGTAACGCGACAGCTGATCAAGACGTCACTTGAGCAATAATATTCGCTCAGATATAGCTGTAGAACCTATAACGGGTTCTTACTTTCTAACTTTGTCTCTATGTCATGGGCTGGGCTAGTCTAGAACTAAGTCTACGATATCACTAGATGTACAATGATTAAGTTCTGACGCATTACGACAATGTAATAGTGAGAGACGGACATGCTAATACGTTATTTTGCGATATACTCCATTTCCGAGGCTTCCTATGGGATAGAGCTGTCTATATTCTCCACATGGATTTATGTATTTAATGGAGCAACCATTTCTATGTATCTCAGCATGTACCACTTTTTGTTGTTCATTTTCGAGACAAAATAATACCTCAAGGCCTTCCAGCATATCCCTTGTGCTACACAGAACCAACACAACACATCATGCCCGCTACACGAGGCAGAGTTATGAACGGCCCATATGGCGGGTTGGGCGGCGGCTACTACGATGAAGTGCATGGAGATCATGCTGTCAAGAGGGTTGATGCCTGGGGACGGAGCTACAATGGATACGATGTTCTGAACGGATTTCAGTTTACCTGGGACGACAACCATCAGGGCAACCTCATCGGTCACAAGAACGACAACATTTACCAAGGATTTGAGTTTAAGGATGGTGAAAAGATAAACAGAATGACTGTCTACGCTGGAGATGGTGAAGGCTATGTCAACGGCTTCGAATTCGATACAAACAAGAACCGCCACTATTCGATTGGTGGAAAGGAGGGCAAAGTTAACCATGTTGACCACCTTGGGACTGGTGACTTAATTGGAGCGGAAGGCAGAGATAGTATTCATGGCTCTGGAGACGTCGTGGATAATATGGATATCTACTTCAAAACCTGAGGGTCTGTTATCTATTGGTGATGGCTGTGGTTTACATGCTGTTATATTTTCAGTTACATGAAATGCCTTGGTGTGGGTTTTTCCTCGGTGTGCACTGGTTTTCTACACTGTTTTCCCCATGCTGTCATGCGAATGCAAAGGCTACCAAATACGCACTGTTGAAAATTCAATGCGATCTGAGCGACTGCTTGATGATTCCATACATTGACAGGTGAAAAGTCTAAATAAAATAAGACTCTGAAAATGAACACCACTCCCCGATATAAGATGATACTATTGAAGTTAGTAAAAGATGTGCGCTTTGTTCTTGATGTCATTACTTTACTAAACCCCGAGCTGATCTACAAAAACACTCCGATTTGTTTTTAGGTGTTCTTTCTAATGTTCTTTTTAGATGCATAAACTTTGCAGTTGACTTTTCTATTTGTGACCAAGAAATTAGACTATATGCTACTAGAGAGTACAATGGCTCTTTATTGCTGTTCGACTAATTTCGCGCTTTGCGGGGTTGATGTCGTGACAGCCAGCACATCCTGAGTGACAGTACTTTATGTGCGCCATGGCGCGATCACGACCTTTGAACACGCAAAGCTTATCAATCTCCGCGATATAAATAGTCTTTCACGTCTGACATCTCCTCTTTCTCTGTTTACTTTCCGCATCGCCATCATGTCCGCTGTTCAGACTATCACTGTGCCCGCCACACCCGATATTCAATACCACCCTGAATATGAAAAGTACAAGGAGCGTACTCGTCGTCGAAAGGAGACTGAGACCCTCCAGACCACTTTGCCTGCAGGCTTCCCGCAGAAGTTGGTATCTTCACTAGTCTGGGAAGGAAAGGATGTTGAGAAGCGGGATGATTGGGTTTATCAGTTAAGCAATGATCAGCTGGATGAACTCGATGCTGCTTTGAAGAGCTTCAGAGGTGGGTGATTATAGCCACAGTATTAATGTGCCATTGCTAATTGAGCAGCTCTCAATCTTTCCTTGGGACATATCAATCAGTCAACTTTCCCTCTACCTACCCTTCGACCTGTTCTTCGAGACCTTTCGAAGGAGATCCACACCGGTCGAGGATTCGTCGTTCTCCGGGGTTTGCGTATTGACGATTACTCTCGAGAAGAGAACATTATCATCTACACCGGTCTATCTTCCCACATCGGCAACATTAGAGGACGTCAGCAATACGCTCGACTGGAAAATAACGCTTCACCCGTGATATCCCATATCAAAGACCTGACCACCACGGCCAACAAGAATCTTATCGGGGCCCCTTCAAACACGGCTGATAAGCAGGTTTTCCACACTGACGCTGGCGATATCGTCTCACTCCTTTGCCTGAACCGAGCCGCAGAGGGAGGAGAAAGCTATCTTTCCAGCAGCTGGCATGTGTACAACATCCTGGCCAAGGAAAGACCTGATCTTATCCACACTCTGTCCCAGGATTGGCCGCTTGATGGGTAAGAACCACCAAGTGCCAAGGAAGCGCATTTGCAAGCTAACACTGTTCAGCTTCAATAACCCGGCCAGCCCCTACACCATACGCCCACTTTTATACCACCAACCTGCCAGTGCCACTACCCCTGAGAGAGTACTAATTCAGTACGCAAGACGGTACTTCACCGGATTCCTGGCTCAGCCCCGATCAAAGGATATCCCCCCTATCACAGAGGCACAAGCCGAGGCGCTCGACGCTTTGCACTTCTTGGCAGAAGAGCACAGTGCCGCTCTGGATTTCCAGAAAGGTGATGTGCAATATGTGAATAACCTTAGCATTTTCCATGCGCGGAACGGGTTCAGAGATGCGCCTGGGCAAGAGTACGTCCTTTTTCTTTCGCACGTCCTTCTATATTATGAAGATGCTAACTAGTATGGCTGTATTAGGCGTCATTTGTTGAGACTCTGGCTGCGAGACCCTGAAAATGCATGGGAAACACCCAAGGAACTGCATGACCGCTGGGATATTGTCTATAAAGATGTTTTGCCGGATGAGCAGGTGTTCCCATTGGAGCCGACTATTCGCAAAAGTGTCTGAACGTGGTAGTAATAGCATGCACGATACGCTCAAGTTCTAGTCACCTTTAGCTTAGCATTTGAATTCAATATTCGGCTATATCTATATCGGTTATTCCAACTATCGAACTGATTGTGTTCAAGAGCCTCCCGTGCGGCAACGTGCGGTAACATTCCGGGGTACCGTTCCGTCATCTTAAATAGAATCGGCTTCACTGGCCACAAACTTAACATCTCGACGCCATGTCAAATTATAATTTGTACAAGAATACCCCGCTCTTGAACTAGGGCGGTGGGTATATCCAACATCAGAACCTCAGTCTAGATCCCCTAACCTAGTAAATAGGTTCGCAAGCACCTAGCCCCCAACAGATCTACGATCAAATACTCGGTAAAGACCAAGCCAGGCCTACATACCAGGATGGGCACCAAGCTAGGCACCAAAGCATGCATTCTTGGCATTCCTGCGGGCGGAATCAAATGCCGACTATGAACCAAGAATGCGGAATGAACACAGCATCGTGTTGCGGGCTCGTAGTGCGGGGCCCCGGATTTCCCCAAACGCAAATATCCATAGCGACTTATCATTCAAACGCATTTAAAAAGAGCCTTTGTTCCACCATATTTTGGAATTATCCTGGTGGCCGCTTGTATCAATTCAAGGCATATCCACAATGGACCCGGAGAAAATATACGATGAGACGGTCGAGGATGTCAAGTCCGCGGATTCCGTGCCAGGTATAGATCCAGCGGCAGAGAAAAGACTCCTACGAAAACTTGACATCCATGTCGTTCCTATTCTCATGTTTTTGTTCCTACTCGCCTTCCTTGATCGTATCAATATCGGTAACGCGCGAATTCAGGGTCTTGAGAAGGATTTGGGGATGAAGGGACATGATTATAATATCGCCCTATTTATCTTCTTCATTCCCTATATCCTTTTCGAGGTTCCCAGCAATCTTCTTTTGAAAAAGATATCACCTTCTTGGTGGTTGAGCGGGATCATGTTTTGTTGGGGTAGGTTTGAACCCGATACAGGTGAATAGACTGGGACTAACGATGATATTAGGTGTCGTTACAACATGTCAAGGTGTCGTAAAGAGCTTCGGTGGCCTCGTTGCGTGTCGATTCTTGCTGGGTTTGTTTGAAGCTGGGTTAATGCCAGGTCGGATGACCTTTGGTCCCTAACTTGATGCCACAAATGCTAATATTACAATACAGGCTGCATCTACTTGATTGCTATGTACTATAAGCGCCACGAGTTGCAATGGCGATTCAATGTTTTCTTCAGCGCTAGTATTATGGCTGGTGCAATCAGTGGAGTATGAAATGCCTCCATGATGAATTGATTATATACTAAACCAGTATTCTCTAGCTTCTTGCCTATGGGATAGCCCAGATGGATGGCGTCGGAGGGTACAGCGGCTGGCGCTGGATCTTCATCCTCGAAGGTCTACTTACAGTAGTCACTGGAATTGCTGCCAAATTCCTCATCGTTGATTGGCCCGAAATGTCTACTTTCCTCAACGAGGAGGAGCGTGCTTTGCTGCTTCGACGTCTATCTGAAGACCGCGGTGAAGCGCAAATGAATCGCTTTGACAAGCCGGCAATCAAGCGCACATTCTCAGATGTCAAGATCTATCTTGGGTAAGATTAAGTGGCTTTATTCCATGAAATGAGCTATCCACTAACAAAGATTCACCGCTAGTGCTATTATGTACTTTGGAATTGTCAATACTGGCTATGCAACATCATTCTTCACCCCCACCATCCTCCGCCAGCTCGGCTGGACATCTGTCCGAGCCCAAGTGATGAGCATCCCCATCTACGTTGTCGCAACAGTCATCGCACTAGCGACAGCCTTCGTCAGCGACCGACTCCGCCATCGATTCGCCTTCACTTTGGCAGGATGTACCATCGCCACAATTGGGTACGTTATTCTCATCTGTCAGGAGTCGGTGCCAGTCGGTGCCCGATACTTCGCCCTATTCGCGATCACGGGCGGAGGATATATGACGCAGCCGATCTTGTTAGGCTGGGTGAGTAATAACATGGCTGGGCACTACAAGCAATCTATCGCTTCGGCCATGCAGATCGGCTTTGGTAATTGTGGCGGTCTGGTGGCTAGCAATGTTTTCTTTGACTCCGAGGCTCCAACCTATGCAACTGGATTCGGTGTCAGTCTCGGGATGGTATGGATCTGTGGCTTGGCATGTATGATGTTCTTTGGTTATTTATACCGTGAAAATCGACTGCGTGAGCATGGGAAGAGAGATAATCGGTACCATTGGCCTAGGGAGGAGTTGGAGAATGCTGGGGATGATCATCCGAGTTTCCGGTTTACTTATTAAGTATGGAAATTGAGCCCGATCCCCCAAGAGTAGTATTGCTCTCCGCGGTTAGAGATGTATGGATGTAATAAACTTTTACTGTCATCTGCTCAATTTGGGTTTTCATGGTATTTTTTGTAAATTTTTCACGCCTTATGATCAACCTTATAATATGATATATGATATATCTATTAAATTCCTTCGTTTTCTATTCGTCATGAAAGAACCGTCTTCCAAGGTTGGGACAATTCGCTCCACTCTATGCATTTGATCGGCATCTCCCTCCCGATATGACGTAGTACGCTTCACCGGGTTTTCGTTGGACATTCATTATTATTATTATTACTATTAGTAGTATTAGTATTAGTTTTGTTATTACTATTATTCTTCGTGTGTCAAAGTAGATCAGCCTAAGTTCATCTGCATTCCAAGCCAAGCATGATCGACGAAAGATTTGTGGGGAAAGTTATAGTAGCGACTACTGCGTGTTAAATGAGCATATGTATAACTAGGGGTCCAATGATACTACAAGGCACAACCTCGCGGGTCCCGCGGAATTAGTTAGGTGATATGCCCAGGGTAAATTACTGATATAAATTACTCATATATTGTACCTATTTAATGAAAACTAATCCCCCTCCACCCTAATTCCCCCAACTCAACTAATCTCAAATGCTGCGAACTCCCTCAATCTCCACAAAATGTCGAGAACACCGTCTCCACAGAAGAAACACGTCCAATCTGTGACTTCTGATTATCCATGGAGATCCGACAGCCCATTCGGTCCACCTCAAGTAACGCGCTCCGTCCCCAGTGGCATCAAAAGAATCCGAAACACACTATCAAAACTCTCACCATCCGCCTTCGCAGAAAAAGAACTCCTGCGAAAAAAGAACCAGCGCAAAAGCCCCTTAACCAAGAGAAACGTCGACACCTTCGTCACTGAGCAGGAATGCAATGAAGCCTACAAGCCCAATCTACACTCGCCCCAGATCCAAGTCACCGAGTGGTTACAGCGAGTCTCCTGAGTCCAAAAGTACCATTTACACACCAACCAACATGGGAACGGACATGAGCACGAGGATGTGAATGTCAATGCGCATACGACAGAGTTCCGCTAGGCTTTTTCTAGAACGTTTCTCGCACCTCTCCCCCTCCCGCCACTCGCACTTCGGAGCGCCCGTTGAATACGGAGAAACTCAATACTGGTACTAAAGTGGCTTTTTTCTCCGGGGGCCAAATGACCGATCCGTCATGGGTTGCTCCATGGGGAAATTCATGAACCCCTGGTTGCTGAGGTTACGCTTGGCGTTAACGTCATGATTTGCTGGTATGCATGCCGAGAGTGTTATGCTCCGCCTTTTTTCTCGAATGGGATTTGAAAGAGATGTACAAGGTACAAAGTACATCGATGTATATATCTCTCAATAATAATTAATGCGTGGATTATAAACGTGTTAAGCCCGATGTGGGTATAGCAGATGACATAGATGAGGTTCACGCAAGTTGGTCCATCCATATTTGTAGTTATATTTAATGTTATTATTGTCCATAAGACTTGTAACTAACTAATTCTGTTCTACAATGTACAGCATCGTATCCGAAAGCTCGTTGGATGTAAATGTTTTGTATAAAAGTAGAAGGAGACCCGAGGTGTTTCTCAAGTGGATATAAGCGGGGTAAGTCTAGCGACAACAGCTCGAGTCTGCCTTGGAGTTTTATTACTTCCAACCTAAGTATCTAAGTATATTAAAAGGTATACGACACATAGAGACGCTATAAAGCTCTTTGTGCGTTGAAGCACTCACCTCCAACTCAAGATGCCACCTAAGAAAGTAGCAATAATCGGTGAGTCTAGAGAGACCCCGCAGGCACAAGTCTATATACCCAGGTGGGATCCGACCTAACATTAATATTAACATCCCACAGGTGGTGGTCCCTCAGGCCTAGTCACAGCCAAAACCCTTCTTCATAATTTCCCGCGCGGGACATTCTCTCCAATCATCTTTGATGGCCAGGACAAAGTCGGAGGTCTGTGGTCAAGTCACCATCATTCTCCCAATCAGGCCAATGCACCCCCGGTTACACTAGACCCTCGAATGAGGACAAACCTGAGCCGCTTCACGGTCGCTTTTTCGGATCTTGACTGGGAGTCTGTGATTCCCAATGCGGATGTTCCGGTTTTTCCTCAAGCGAGACAGGTTGGCGAGTACTTGGCCTGTTATGCAGAGCGGTATATTCCAACCCATGTGCTTAGGCTAGGGTGTAGTGTGGTAAAGACTGTGCGAAAGGCCGAGGATGGAGGTGACCCCAGGTGGAATGTTCAGTGGGTTCAGAAGAGGTATGTTGAAACTTACTCGTGTATGACTTTACTCGAGCTGGATGTTGACTCACAGCCATATTTAGTGCGGCGGAATCTCAGCCGGGATATGAATCACTAGACGATTTAGTGTCTTCGGAAAATTTCGACCTGATTGTCATCGCCTCCGGATACTTTGCCCAGCAGTATATTCCAGATATACCAGGTTTAAAGCAATTCCAAGGCAAAATTATCCACAGCTCTTCACTTCATTATGAGCGAGAGCAGCTTCTTCTTAATAAGAATGATTCGAATGGCCAGATCGTCGTCATCGGCGGCAGCATGTCAGGCGTCGAAGCCGCATCTGCTGTGGCTCTCCGCCAATCTTCGTCTAGACTTTCCACAAACAGATTCCCACATACCCAAGAGACAAAAGTGCATCATATACATTCAAGACCATTCTGGACTTTACCAACTTACCTCCCCCATCAGTCGCCCGATGGGAGTCCATCGTTTTTACCGTTGGACTTGGCCATGTACGACCTAGGCCGCCGACCCCCGGGTCCAATAGATTACGCCTTGGGCCCGATCCCAGAGGAAAAGGCAGTCAAAACAAACAGCTACTTCCACTCCTTGCTTGGCAGTGAATACGAGAAATATGCGCACATGGACTCAACTCACAGCGCCGAAGAATCCAGAACCCAGCCACCATGGGTCGCCATAGGCAATGATTACGCCGAGTTCGTCCGATGTGGAGCGATTCAGACATCGATGGGCCGGGTGACTTGTGTGCATTCTGATCCGGATACTAAGCAAGCTTCAGTTCAGTACGAAGGGCCTGACGGGAAAACCAAGACGATAGAAAATGTGGCAACGATAGTCATGGCCACCGGATTCACACCGTACAAGTCATTGTCACTGCTACCAGAAGAAGTGTTGACGACACTTGAATACTTCAAAACGGACCCCTTCTCGCCGTTGATTCTCGACAAGGGAGGCACCGTCCGCTCGGAGATCCCCGATCTCGGATTCGTCGGATTCTACCGCGGCCCGTACTGGGGCGTGATGGAGATGCAAGCGAGGCTCCTTGGCAAACTATGGAGTGAAAAGGAAACCGGCGCGCTCTGCGAAACAGAGGACCAGAAACAAAGCCTCCGCAGTCTCAGATTGGCACACCCGGATCTAGCCCGTGGTCAGTTCCCCATGGGCGACTATGTCGGATTGATGGAGTCGTTTGCCAAGGATCTGGATATTAGTCGCTCGGCACTGGATCCAGGTGATAGTCGATCCGGACCCGCTATTCCTGCAAGGTATCTTTATGGCGATGCCCCGACGCCAGGTACAGAGAGTGAGGCGGAGAGGACACTGGATGCTTTGCGCGACGCTCTTGTCCCTGGTCACGAAGTAGCACAGAAGGCTGCAGCGTCGGCGATATTTCGGGCTCTGCATGGCACTTGGAAGTCGTCGGAGCAGACAGCAGATACTACTGGACGTAAAACATCCTCTGGGACTCTGGCCTTTTACCCGCGGTACCCGACTAGCCCAGCATATGATAGGGAGTATGTCTGTGTGGAGACAGTGGATTCAACCGGACGGGAACAGCCTACACGAGGCAATGTGCGGTTCATCATGCGCTTAGCAGAAGTGGGCTTTGGTGTTGCCACTTCCCGAATTGAGATATGGTCTTCGGGCTTGGCAGATACCCTGTTAGCTGATCAACTTATCCAGGGTTGGGAGTTGACGCCATTTTGCCAAGAGAGAAAAGACGGTACGGATATTCCTGGGGAATATGTGATATCCGCCAAGAGCCAAAGCGTTGATTCAAGCTCTAGAGTCGAGTATTTGTATACTTTTCATTTCAAGGGTGTTTCCATCTTTTCCTGGGAATGCGTTGAGGTGGACAATTTGGGAGGGAAAACGGAGTTAACTTCCTATTCCTACACAAGAGACTAAGGATGAATCTAAGATCGGAAAATTGAGCACTGCATACAAGAGAGGGCGGGGTGATGCTGAGCTCTCGGCCGAAGGTCAGCACGATAGACATTACAGAGTGGGTTAAAAAAACTGGATACTCTAGAACAGAACTAGAAAAGCTCTGATTATACATATAAGGGAAAATAAGAAAAGAAAAATGAACACTAGGGGATAAAGAAAAGCTGTATATCAACATATCCACAAGCTCGATGTTCTAGACCAATGTAACCGTCACTTTCCAGTGATATTTTTTCCACCATTGCAAGGCAAAAATTGATCTGATAGGCATTTGACAGGTATTTAGACTCAATTTTGACACTTTAAGCGACAGCTTGATCTAATTTGGCAGGTCAAAAAAAGAGAAAAATCTCTATGGTGGGTCCCCCGGGTACATCCATGGCATATGGGGAATAAGGCTTTATGCAAAAAGAGTCTAGACGAACATGTCTGGGCAAGAAGGCAACGGAGCCTTAATCCAGCCAATCACTTCGATGTAGACAGAGGCTTGGTTTGGTCTGGGGGTGGATCATCTCCAGTGGATATCTGGGACTTCAACCGGAGGTTTTTCTATACTTTTATATCTCTACATTTCTACATTTCTATATATTCTCGAGTATTTGTTCCTCCTGAGAAAATAAACATCCCACGAGCTGAAGTGCAATCGGATCAGCAATCCCACAGAAAACCCCAAGTTAGGGTTGTGAAGCCTATACTTCTACATGAATCATTCGCTACACCCTCCTTTCAACTAGATGAAACATACTCATGTTCTTTGATCAAACCCTTGGACCCATACATATCTTCAATCTAACCCCCAACTCCTCAATACATTACAATGTCACCCAGCAAAACCCCAACCCCAACTTCAACCCCAGACCCAGACCCAGACCCAGACCCCCTTGACCCAATCTCCATATGGCGCGCCTGGCAAACCTTCACAATAATCTACACAATCCAACTAAACCGCCAAATCCACCGGCGCTGGCTCCTCGAACAACAATGCATGCAAGATAAACCCCTCCACAAACGCTTCCGACCCTTGATCTTCCTCGAACCAGTCCCAACCCTCCAAAAGCCCGATACAAATCCAACCCCAACAAAGCACGCAGCCAACAACCCCTTCGACCCATCGACAATGAACAAAATCCGCGCAAAAGCCGCTCTTCTCCGCTCGCGCGTCGAAAAGGGAAAGGAAATCGCATCCGAGATCGAGCGGCGTATGGTCCAGTATCCGCCGATCAGGTATCCGACGCATTTCTGTCATACTTGTGTCCAGGACGGGGAGATGGTTGAGGTCTTGCTTACAAAGTGTGGACATCGGGTATGTAGGACTTGTCTTGAGTTTGGAGTCAATGGGGAGGGGGTGTATGAGTGTAGTATTTGTTTTGTGCCGACGGGGTTTGTGGCGCGGAGTCAGGTGGGATTGGAGAGGGATTATTCTGCGGAGGATTCTTCGATTTTGAAGGGGCATAAGGGTGATGGAGATGGGGAATGGGAATTGAGTGAGGTTTTATTCGCTGATTATTAAATCGGGGATGAGAGAGTTGGGTTGAAGTTATATTTGCATTGTACATGAACATATTTGTATTTCTAGCGTCATGTCATGTTCTACTTGGATACAGAACTCATTAAACCAAAAGTATGAATTTATGTGCAAGGGACGATTTCTAAACCAAAATAGCCCTTCTGGGCTGGAAGAAGTCCATCTCGTCCTTCTCAGGATCCAGTCCAGGTCAAAACCAAATAAAAAAGAACAGAAAAACAAAACTATCCCGATGCAGAACACAGTCTAGTGAACATCTATTGACTAGATCAAGTGAACAAACACCAAGGGAAAATCCAGAATGCATCGTGAGCCATAGCCTGGCCATCCGGCCATCCAGGCCATGGTAACGCCATTTTCGCACCGAAATCGAGAAACAGGAATCCAAAACGTGGGGACACTATGCCACCGGGGAATGAGGGGGGGTCGTTATACAGTAATTATGAGAACCAATGCAAGACATAAGCATCTACCCCAAAGCGTGCATGAATCCTGGAGATGGCAGGAAAAGAAAAGGGTGTGGAGGCCAACGCCCACACGAATTGCAGCAGCAATTCAAAGAGAAATCATATATAATCATCCCTCTGTCATCAGCGGTCCTCTGCTTTTTCCCCGCTGTCAATAACTATATTGACTTCTTTGACAGGATGCAATAGCATAGGGGGAAGACACATGCGGCCTTCGCCAGCCAGCTCCTGCTGCTCACCGCCGTTATTGTCGACGCGGAGACCAAGCCAGCGGCGCCAGATATTCGGCGAGAAGCCCGCCGAGTAGAACCAGGTCGTACCGCGGAAGTTGTGTTCACGATCGCCGAAGACGGATGTGCGAGCGCCACCGGAAGCTCCGTTGCGACCGGCATTGAACACTGATTCCAGATGACGGGTCGGCCAGCGGCGGTCGAGGTAGACGGCGTGCGGGACAAAGACAGCTTTGAAGCCGTGATGCAGAGCAGTGGTCGCGGGCCACATCTCCGAGAACATGCTGTGGTGCTTGAGAGTGCATTCACGGTGCATGGTGGTGAGTAGTTTGCGGGAGATCCGCGACGCGGTGATGATTGCGGTGCGCCGTGGTGGCATGCCCTTATCCTTGTTGTAGCCTGTCACGTCGTCGCGCAGCAGCCAGGTCGTGCCCTCGGGGTCGTAGAGCGGATTGAACACGACTAAGTCGGCGTCCTCACCCACACCCCATTGGTATTGGTCCTTGTCCATACTTGTGGGTGGGATGCCCTCACCCTCGACCTCGAAGATGTCCCGTTCATCGGGGCGCTCGGGGCCCCAGATGGACTTGTCGCCCTGTTGATGCATTGCGCTTCGCGTGTTGCCTGCCGCGCCGTTGGTGGCGCTCCACATGTTGTTGGCGGAGTTGGTACCGCTGTCAGTTTGCACGCGGACCATCTGGCGGAAGTCCTCCCATGAGCCATGGACGGACGGAACATAGAAGCGAGCATTACGCTCCCAGAGACCCTTTCGTGGCTGCTTTTTCGCCCACTCGCCGACTTTGTCGAAGAGGTGGTACCAGTGGCCCGTATAACGCGCATCCATCTCCCAGTTCCAGAAGTAGTCGTACTCGGGATGCTGGAACGCGAAGTACTGCATCGGCATATATGTGCTGCGGTAAACGCCGTGGATTGGCAACCCGCGAGTCATGGTCTCCTCCAATCCAGGATACATCAGGGCCATCTGCGGCTCAGACCAGAGAGTTCCCATGCCACGGAACTCCTCTGGAAGCGCGTCATCAAGCACACGCTGGTATGTCTCATCATCGGACCAGATCTGCAAGTTGGTGTCCTTGACATGAACCAAGAAGTGAATAGTATACTCGCCACCTGACATCAGCGAAAGCTCTGAGATGACAGAGCGCATATACATAATGTCCTCCGAGGTATAGTGGAAGTCGTGCCATGTGCGGATAACCACTGCAGTGCGCGGCAGCCGCTCAGATCCAACCTTGGGCGGTTCCTGGCGGCCATCTTCCGCAGGTGGTAGGGTGTTCACCTTGGGAACACCCACAGGCATAGAAACAAAGCGGTTGAGACGCGGCTCCGGCAGCTCATTGAAGCGATGGCGGTTGGCCGCGTGGCAGCGGTGTTGCGCAGCAGCCCAATCTACATGTCGGAAATCCACTGGAGGAATATCTTCCCACACACGCTCGGCGCCTTCACGATGGCCGTCCATGCCCGCGCCGATGCCGCCTTTCTTGACCCCGTATCCAAGCCCGTATGGGCCTAATCGGCCAAATCGATCAAAGCACATGTCGTCCCGAATACCCAACATCGCATTCGAGCCTAGCCCTGGGTCCGGGAAGCCCTTTGGAACTCCGGGGTAGCTTTGGATAGGCGGAACCCGTAGCGAGTTTTCTGCGTTGAGGAAGCACTCGCGCTTCTCACCGTGTTTCTCTATGTATTCCGGCGACTGGTAGTCAGGATAAGGGTTGAACACAGAACTCAACATGTTCGGGGCCAAATCCCTCTTGGTCACCTTGTTGGCGTCCTGCTGCTGTCCCTGCTCATTCTGCTCGTCGCTTTGTTCCGTCCGCAAACCCAAGTCGTCGGAGCCATCGCCGGGGTACTCTGGGACATTTTCAGAGCGTGGGACCAAAGAAGAGATACCGCCCTCATAGCGATTGAGGAACGGGAAGCTCTCCCATAGTGGCGGCTTCGGGGTGCCGACCTTGGGCAGGTCGACGGCGACTTGTTTCACCGAGGTGGAGATGGTAAAGCGGAAGAGGGTAAGGACGAAGAGGACGAGGGAAGCGAAAAGAGCGAAGCAGAGCCAGCGCATGATCCGCTGGGGCACGCGAAAGCCAACGCTAGCTTGGGGGCGGCGAAGACTGCCGCCAGCTACGACGGGTGGCGGGTAGGAGCCCGCGACATTGTTATCGTCCAGCGACTCGTCGTCGGAATCGGGGTCATCGCTCAGGTGGTGGTGATATGCGTGTCGCCCGGCGGTGGGTTGTTTTTCGATGTCTGTTTCTCGTGAATTATAGGGTGATGGGGACTTGTAGGCTGCGGAGTGCCTCCTCGCCTGAACGGTCATGATGCCAGACAAGATGTCAACATTGAATGAGTGGGGTAATTCCAAGGTTGTCCAAAATCACTCAATCAACAGCACATCTATCCAACAAGTGTAACAGTAGAACAATCAGTCCAATAATACCCAAATCAGGGGTGGTTGTTGGAGGGAGGGAGAGGCACGCGATGAGCTGTGTTGTTGATCGTCGGCCTGGCAATGGGGCGGCCCAGGCTTGGGTCACTTTGGAGACGTAAAAGACGTGGAAAGACGTAAAAAGACGTAAAAAAAGGTGAAAACAGTAAAAAACAGTATAAAATATTTGAAACTGCCCTAAAACCAGACAATATTCAAGAGCAAAACAAAAGATAAACAGCCCAAATAGGCCCAAGCCGGTATTTTCGCAGTTAAAGTGCCAAGACTATTGGCGCAGCCCGAGAAATGAGGGATTACGCAGTTGTCTCCTCAAATGGACTGGTCCAAGAGCCGATCAGCCCTAGAGATTCCCTTTCTCAAAATCTATTTTAGTTATATTTGATAATCTATGGTACGGAGTCCGGAGTATACTTCTATAATATATGGAGTAAATGTACAAAAATAGTCGCTTATGCGGCCTTGCGACATATTTTCCTCTTTTTAGCAGTCTTGTTCGATATCTCTGAACATATCCATGGGCCTATACTCTAGGGCTAAGCTTTTTTGTACGTAAAATCTTGAAAAATATCCATCAAATTACTTAAAACTCCATAGTCAATCCATGGTCAGTCCCTAAACTTCATTAACCATGGCACTAATCAACCCGATCGTACTCTTCTTCACATGAGCCAAGACGTAACTAGCCAGCTCTTTGTGCAGCTTAGGCTTTTCGTCTTCCTCCGCATCCTCATACAGATATTCAAGAGCTCCTCCGTTAATGGCGATTTCCCCATAGGTTGAACGGTCGTCTTCATCTACCCCGATACAGGCAATAAAAACCCCAAATTTCAGTAGCATCGCGTTGAGAATCAAACGGCACATTCGGCCATTGCCGTCAATAAATGGATGAATGTTCACGAAAATGTGCGTATACTTCGAAGCTAAGGCGATGGGGTCGATTGTCCCATTTTTGGTAGCTTCTTTCAAATCGCACTTAAGCTCGTGGAACATAGACTTCATTTTGTATGGAACCAGGCAAGGATGAGGGAATGCGTGTAGGCCCGCGCTCACTTCATCCGATCGATAGATGCCACTGTATTCCATCCAGGGGGTAGTCTCAGCGTCCACTTTATAGGTCAGAATCTGGTGGGCTTTGAGGATGATCTGTTCGTTAAGATCCTGGTCACGGATGCACAACTGGTCGATCATAAAGGCTGCAGCTTTAGCATGTTGCACAACCTCTTGTCGACTACGTAGGACAGCCGAAGTGTCTACAGGGAGGTTTTGGCGGATCAGACTCTCTTTAATAGACGAGTACTCTTGGTCTTGCTCTTCGATCTCCTCGGGGATTTCTTCGCCACGGAAGAGTGCAAGACAGAGTTTCAGAGTAATGTCTGAGCTACTACCAGCTTTCTCGATCATATTTGAGCCGTACACCATCCATGCAAGGGAGTGCAGAACATGGTTCTCAAATGCTGCTTCTTGGCGAGGTGTGAGTCCAGTTTTAAATACATCGGACAGCTCATTTTCAAGGGTGGTAATCTCGCTGAAGAGGGTATCGGGCTCAAAATCTTCATGGCCAATATTAGACTCATAGGAGTCTTCCTCCATGGCCACGGTAAAGCAGGTCTCAACTCCACGCAGAGAACGAGCAAAAATAGTTCCTTGGGCGAGGGGAAGTGTAGATTCCATGTTGAGTGTATTTGATGAGGCTTGGACAAGCTGGGTGGCGGTGAGAATGAGTAGAAGATGCTGTGAATTAGGCTTGAAGAAGATGAGTGACGGTGATGAGCATATGTGATTTGAATCTTATTGAAGTATGTAACTAGGTACTATGCCTATATAGGTAATGTGATGTACGTAATGTGATAGAAAGAACCTTGGAAGGCACGCGAACAAAGGGGAAAGAACTACTATGCCACATGTATTACGGCAGGTTCTAGACGGTTTTTGCTAGGCAGAAAATTAGTAGTAAATTAAATTAATAATCCATACCTAAAGCCCTGGAGCCCGGGGTAGGAAGGCATTAATACCTTATAAAATAGGCACTGGATGTAACACTATTCGTACCTACATAAATCCTAGAATTCCCTTATTTCTTATTATACCCTCAAAAAGAGTATCAAAAGAGACCATCTAAAAAGACCATCTAAAAAGACCATCTAAAAAGACCATCTAAAAAGACACCATAAGGCCGCAAACACAGCCGACTATTGTTATGAGAATAAAAGGAGAAGTGGAAGAAGCCGAGGAATCATGCTGTTCATACCTGGGGTTGAGTATATAGGTAAGAGCAAGGCGGTAAAATAGGCGGTAGATAAATTATATAGGTTGGCACGATGGCGCCAAAAACCTGCCATAATGTATCCCTGAATATTTATGTGCATAGTAGGTAGGTAAAGTCAAAATAAGGTTATGACTCTCCGTAACCTTCTAGGAATTCTTATAGTTGAGCCGCTTTGATGAGGGTACTTGGTAGATGTCAGCACGGGCTTAAAGTTAACCCCTTGCAACTTAGAAGTCCCATCACACTTTCGTATCACACTCCCCAGGTGGTTATTTTAAAAGATGGCAAGGCGAATTATTTCTAGAATTCGCAACTTGCACGCCTTTCCTTGCTCTCGATTTCGATATACGGGCATCTTCTCCATATCTCGCCTAGGCAGACGACATTTCATATCTCCCTCTCCTGAGTTTTACGCTGAGACACAGAACGGTGAAAGTAATCATATTCCAAATGCACCATATTCCCCTCCAAATACACTAAATACCAAACTATGTATCTTCCAGGCGAGAAGATTTCTAGGCAGGCTTTGCACCGATACACTAGGCACCGATGGCTGTAAGCTACGCATTCCATTTTCGGTATTAACAATGATTGTAACTTGACTCGAATTTAAAGGTTTAACGAAGAAAAGGAACTTTCTAAGCGTTATGTGGAGTTTGACCTACAGCAACTCCTTCAGGTTGCCGTCAGTGTTTGCGAGGGAGCTCAATTCTGTACGTTGCTGTCCTGGGATATTGCAACATACATAATAATATGCTAATATTCACACTAGGCACCAGAATCACGAAATGTGCCGAAGGGCTACATAACAAGGCATTTATTTTGACAATGGATAACGGTTGCGAGGTTCTCGCAAAGCTCCCAAATCCCAACGCCGGGCCTGCTCGTTTCACAGTTGCATCCGAGATCGCCACACGCAAGTTAGTAAGTAATATTGCCGATTCCTCTTTTACACATTCAATCTTATAATTTGACTCTCCAGCTTTCCGACGTTTTAAACGTCCCTGTTCCCCGGGTCCTAGCATGGTCCTTTGACGCGGCAAGTAGTCCTGTCGGGGCTGAGTATATCATTGAAGAAAAAGCGCCCGGAGTTCGTCTAGGCTCTGTCTGGAATCAATGGCCTCGAAATTCAAAGCTCCAATTGATTATCCAAGTGATTGATATTCAGAACACTTTAACCAGTGTGGCTTTCGATATGCATGGCTGCATTTACTTCAAGGATGATCTTCGCTCCCTGGGCGAGGAACCCAAAGAATCCAAAATTCTGTCTACTACGACCAGCATCCCTGATATGTTTGCCATAGGACCTCTCACTACCGGTGAGTTGTGGAACGGGGTAAGGAGTGGTATGAATTTGGATCGTGGTCCCTGTGAGTCAAGAGAGTCGACAGGCCAGTGTAAAGTTCCTAATTATCTTTCTATATACAGGGAAGGATCCTAGTGACTACACTCGCGCATTGGGGCACAACGAGATTGCGCACATCAAGTCACATGCAGTTCCTCGGATGAACTATTATCAATCGCTCAAAACTGAGGAAAATCCCGAGGATGGCCTCGCTCTTTTGACCAAATACATGAAAGTTGCTTCTTATCTCATTCCTCGATCCCCCAACGGAGCGGCGTCCAACAACGTTCTAATGCATCCCGATCTTCATCTGGATAACATCTTCATCGATCCAGAGACCCTTAAAATCACAGGTATCGTGGACTGGCAATCAGCATGTGTTGCGCCATTATTCTATCATGCCGATGTTCCAAGGATGTGTACCCACCATGGGCCTCTTCAGGAAGGCTGGGTCATACCTGAACGACCGGAAGACTTTGATAGCCTAAGTGCAGAGGAACAACGCAAGATTGACAATGATCTAGAGAGTCAGATCCTTCACAAATACTACGAGGCCCAGGTATACAAACGATCGCCTCGTCACTGGTCTGTCCTTCAAAATAAGAGGATCCCCATCATTCAAAAACCAGTTTGGCTCGTCACAGGAGTGTGGGAAAACCGCAATCTAGTTTTCCTTCGCGAATCACTCATATCACTCTTCGCTCATTGGGAAGAACTTCTCCCAGATATACCATGCCCAATCAGTTTCACCAATGAGGATGTCGAACTTCATTCCAAGGAAGAGGAAAATATACGTGGTGTCGGGAAATTGCTAACCGTATTCCGAGATGAATCCGTGCTCCCAGTGGATGGCATGGTTGAGCCCGAAGACTATGATATAGCCCAAAAGAATAGCCGGAAATTCAAAGACATCTTCATCGGATTGGCTAAGGATGACGAAGAGAAAGAATTATTCACGAAACTCTGGCCATACCAGGAACCTGCAGACACATAGGGTTTAAAAGATCAACGCGCCAATACGGCTTCGGCAGTCAGCATTTTGTATGTTTAAAGCGTCTGTTCAGGCAGTTATATACATTCTGTCCTCTAGATCTGTCCTCTAGATCTGGGGCACTCCACGTGGGTCTCAGCCCTACTCATGTTTCATCTCACTGGAATGTATGTTGTACATGTACCACATAGTTTCAAAAGTCATCGGCCGGAATCTTCCTTACTGTACGGAGTATTTTAACTATAGGAACTAAATTAAAATAACCTTAAAATAATTGTCAAAGCCTCGGATGCCGTTATTTGTCACGTGATGATACCTAAGCCCGGACTGAAATCTACTCAGCCCGACTCAGCCCTGCAGGCTTCCTAAAGCAGCCGAGGTAGGAAAGCATATAGAAACCAGATAGAAACGCGATGGAAATTTCGAAGTATCTGCTCATTTATTCCGTTCTTGTTCTCTCACCCTCTCCTTGCCCAATCTGAGATTCTGAGAGTTTACAAATTTGAGTACCTATACAGATCTCTGGGGTTCCCAAGGCAGAGAAGTAATTTTGGAGTGGCGACGCCGGAGAGAAGAAAAACAAATGAGGCTAATAGCATAGCGTAGAGGAAAAAGAGCCGTTTGAAGAGAGAACATCAAAAGAAGTAGCGAACCAGTTGCAGAACCCCTTTCCTTGCAGAGATCGTTGTCATGTGTGGCCAAAGAACTCCCCGCCATCGTCATCATCAATCCATCATTTGCAGATTTCGGTATTCTCCTTCACCCAGCTACACGTCCGAATCGAATTCGCATTATAGACCTTAATCGCGGTTGGTTTTCCGGAGCGCATCGGCAAGCCACTCCAGACCCTCGTACAGACCATCACCAGTGGTGGCGCAGGTAGATTGGATAAACTAGACCGATCGTTAGTGAGACTGTAGACATCACATGTATCCAAGGATGTCACTTACCCAAGCACGACGGGTAAGGCTCTGAAGACCAAGCTGCTGCGTGATCTCGGCGGGGCTCATGGCGTTCTAGACAAAAGCGGGGGAGGTCAGCATGATATTTCATTTAGCACACATTATCCAACAATCCAAATCCTTACCGGCAAATCCTGCTTGTTGGCGAACACCAGGAGGAGTGCATCGCGAAGCTCATCCTCGTTCAACATGCGCTGCAACTCCTCACGGGCCTCGACGACACGATCGCGATCGTTACTGTCAACCACGAAGATGATACCCTGGGTGTTCTGGAAGTAGTGGCGCCACAAAGGACGAATCTTATCCTGACCACCGACATCCCACACGGTGAACTGAATGTTCTTGTATTCGACGGTCTCGACGTTGAATCCTGCACTGAGTGTCAGTTTCCGGGAGGGGTATCAACATTTCCCAAACGGCCTGTTGAATTGCGAAGAGCGCATCACGGTGTCGCCGGTAGATGGGTCGGGGGGCGGACTAACCAATCGTGGGAATAGTGGTGACGATTTCACCGAGCTTGAGCTTGTACAGAATGGTGGTCTTACCGGCGGCGTCAAGACCGACCATCAGAATGCGCATCTCCTTGCGGCCCCATAGCCGGTCAAACAGCCGCGAGAAAGTAATACCCATATTGTCGGTAGCGAGAAAACCCTCGGATCCTGAGGAGTGGATAGGTCAGAGAGATATCGAGGGATGTGGTTGAAAGGGGAAAAGCGGAGGGGTTGGAAAACGTGTTGTGGACTTGTCGGTCAGAGATCCAGGGGGGGGGCAAGTCTGAGCACGAGCCAGCCAAAACCGGATCAACCACTTACCGGCAGGAAAAGGTATAAGTTTGGTTTTTAAGAAGTAATAGAGTCAAGTTCAGGGGAATTATCGAGAGAGAAGTCAGAAGGGGAAATTCGGGGTTTCGTTTTTTGTTTTGAATACGCAGAAATACGCAGACCGATGGCGGTGGGCGTATGTTGTAGTCTTCGGTCACCTGGTTTATTTGGGAGCACGCAACCACGTTAGAGAAAAATGAGGCTGATGAAAGATACAAAAAGAAGCAACTTATGATTCTACAAGTTCTTTTGAGGTACTACCTAAGTATATATGGTATGACTATCATAATAGTTCTGCCTATATGAACTATGGAAATGTGTATTTTGTGGAAGAGGACACCGTGTTGACCCCGTAAGTGAAATACCAAAAGGAAAGGTCGCCCCCAGACGGGCTAAGACCCTCAAAAAAAGGTCCCACAGTGTCTGATAGGCCAACTGATAGGCCCCGAACTTCCACACTTATCGTGGCTGCGTAATTTCTCGGGGTCTTCTCTCTTTGGTTCTTCATGGCAATGCTTTCTCTTATTGTTCTGATCGTTCTGATCGTCGTGACATTTTCTGCCGAGAGGTCCGGAAGAATGTTCGTATCATCGATCGATAAATCGTCTTACCTTCTACGGTATCGCTGGCGTAACCGAAAACGGTCAAGAGCAAGATGGATGCAATGAAGATCACCGTGAAACTAACCCAGTACTGCGTCTTCGTGTACCCGTTCTTCACACCAACGAGTTCCGTCGAGAAGTATGCACTCATCAAGCTAACCGGCAGGAACAAAATGGTCGCTTTGGCCAACAATATAGTGATCCGAGTGAGCTTCTCAACAGCCTGCGAGTCCTTGAGCGCAATCAAGTTGAAATTCTAGGCCACGTCAGCAAGGATTCTCAGAACAAAGACCGGGAAATTACTCACCAGGAACGTCAACGACTCTTTCTCATTGAGACAGTTCTCAATCTCGCTCAAACAGTACAGATTGATACGATCAACCAACCGCTCGAAGCGCGCCACAGCCGTCGAGCTCAGCTGCACCCCGACCGATTTCTCATTTGGGTTATGATAACCGGAATTGCTCACGACACTCGACTGGCGCATATCCACGAACTCCATATCACCAAAGGTGGCTCCATACTGGATTGCGGCTGGGTGAGACGAGCGCGCTTCGTCGCGGAGCATGCGTTGCCGTTGCAAGAGTCGCCGCATAATAAGCTCATAGCTCTGATATAATCGTTTAAGAACTGCGAGTCGCCGGCCCAGCCAATGCAATTCGTTCACCAAATCCACTACCGGACGATCGAGCATTTGGCTTCTCTGCGCCGAGTTAGCCATAATCAGAAACACATCAACAAAACATGTTACAACGAAGATACTAACCAGTTTCTCTAAGGCAACACCATATTTGTGTTCTCGCTTTGCGATAAGTCCATAACTTGACACCCAGTCATCGAAGATATAGTAGAAGAGCAAACTCGGTCCATCCTCCTGTTTGATATTGGCTTGATCCGGTCCGAGGTCGCTGAAATGTCGCACCCGGATGGTGATTAGTGACTCGCTCTCGGACATGGCAAAGTGCTGTCTCGAAACCCCAGCGAAGATAAAGCGGATATTTCTGCGCACGATGTCGAGGACTGGCTTGGCTTCGGTTATCGGCACTCCCTTTCGTCCTGGGAACGGGTTCTCTTGGATTGAGATTATTGTGCCTGCAAACAAGTCAGCGGTTGTACTCGAGGTCCGGGAATTGGGGTGTTGCCGTGCGGCTCATACCATCATCGCACTGGATCAACCAGGTCCAAAGCCGTTTTCCATCCGGAAGATCTTTTCCATTTGGTTGTGATAGTGTGGGAATCACAAACAACGTATTATACCCGATACATGTATCTGATGGATTGTTAAATCATTCTGCTGGCTCAAGTTCAGTGTGATATACTTACATCGAGGACCATGATCCACAGAAGAGAAATGCCAGATTTGATTCGTGACTTGCGCAAATGTGAGATTCTTGAATGACGCCGACGCCGACTTGCGATAGTCATCTGACTCGACAGCGAGATGCTTAAGTGCATTCTCCGCGTCATCCACTTCGTGTTGGAACGACGGTACAACATGGGGCGATTGCGGAGTCCTCTTTGTTGGTAATGTGGTAGGTGTAGTTTCGGGTTCAGGATGCACTGGCTCTGTGCACATCATCCCCTGTAGTCGTTCGGATACTCCATAGTATCTGGTAATCGCCTAGGAATCCATAGTCAGTCAATACTACTCATATGCGAATCAAACTGCACAGCCTACCCTTATGCTTTCTTTCTGCTCCTCTGGTGCCCATATATTACTGTGATCGCGATGTTAGTATACACTCAACTACATTTTAGGGCGTAGCTCTTACATCCACCGTGTACCGAAACATCTGTCTCTCTGTATCAGATGTCAGACGTTGACTATTGGACAGACCCTACAATCAACCAAGTTGAATGTTGTGAAACAGACTTACCGGTTTACTCAGCAATAGTTCCAGTTCGTTGGTGCCTAGATCAGATGCACACCATGCCTCTTCGTTCCCGAAATCGAGCACAAAATTCTGAGTAAGGGGATCCGCTAGGCGGCGCATAGCAGTGTAAAACTGTGTCTTATCGTCGATATTCTTGAATTTCTCCACAAGCGAGCCCTCATCGTCAAGACTTGAGTAGTAATCCTGAGGCGCAGTAGAATCGCGCGAATCTGTTGTATGAGACATAATGAAGCAAAGCACGCTGGTGTGCTAGGTGCTGAATTTGGAGGAAAGGTCTTGTCAACAAGCCGAAAAATCAATAGCCAATAGTCGAAAGCTCAGCTGTCAAATCAGGAGGGGGTATCGGGTTGGGTCAAGCGAAGAGTCCCGAGGTCAATATAAACAACCTTGATCATGAAATGTAAATCTGGAGTATATCACAGATAGAATATGCAGAAAAGTCAAGTTTAAATATTCTAATCTCACTGGGGTACAGCCTCAATTAAATCAAAATGCTGGGCAATAGCCCCGACGCCAAAGGGGGGGTTGGGTGGCCAGTCATCTGAGGCTGACACTGCAGCCGGTCACGTTTAAGCGCTGCGATCATCTGCAGCCCCCGCAGACCATGTCAAGTTCGTTTCACTTGTCGAGATTTATCCTAAAATAGATAATGTAGACCCTGTTTGCTGGCTTTGTGGGCTGCTGTGTTATGTACCCGTCTCCTTAGCAAAAGCTTGTGTGTTTATTGATCATCCGGACAATTCAATATATATTATGCCGAGGCCAGGAGGTGTTAATGGCAAGCAGTCTTGAAGATCTTTCTCAGTGGATATATATGGATTTAATAATTAATACAACGTAACTTAGCTTGTGAAAATAGGCTTATTATTTACTCAGCTGGACTACTCCGTACTATGTTCCTATTTAATACAGACTCGTGCTAGTAGTGGCTGATCTAGATCATCGGGGATATGCGCAAAACAATGTATTCAAGCACACACGAGGTCAAAGTCTTGACCACTATCGCCACACAATAGCATTATTAAATGACAAGGTTTCTTTTCATGAACAATGACATAGGATAATTAATAAAGACATGTAGTGATCGCGACAATATAAGCGGGTCGGCCATGTGGCGGGGCGATCCGGTCAATGCTTGTATGTATGTTGGACGGAGTACATCCCACACAGTACAGCGAACGCACCTACATAAATCGTAGGTCCTAATTTCAAACTTTGAAATAGAAGCTCCTTGCAGTATATGTGCTTATTATTGGGTTACCTATTACCCCGATCATGTGTCCACAGAGAATCAGCAAGTTGGTACCCGTCCACATCTCTTCGTATACTTCTCGTTTCGTGCATGTCCGACGGCTTGATAACCACGATCGATGTTCTCTTACATTGCAAGCGCAGGGTTTTATCTAGGGCTTGAAATCATTCCCTTTGAGAGTAACGACAAGGATTCTGAATATAGTAACGGCTAAGGCGTCATAGGCAAGGCTCAGCGGTTAGGAGCAGCAATGGTGACATGGCCAATCAATACGGAGAGGTGTCGGGGTTGCCAATATTGTTGTTCAAGCTGAGCTGACGGTTGCTAATGCGATTGTTTGTATGAGCGAGTGTAATTGAATTGAGGGTAAAGTATCCGTTGACGTATTGACCTGTCAACATGATGATGATGATGCAAAAATTTGCTCTACTGAACACTTTTTGACAGTTTTAATAAGATCTAACTAACCAAGAATAGTCTTCTAGCAAATATGAATATCATCCTCAGTCATAAAGCGTATGCGTTGCTGAGATTGGGGACGATCGTTTCATGTGTATGCCTCAGGCCATAAGATGAGTCAGCAAGAAAAAAGCCCGTCTAGGGCACCGCTAATCCTAATTTAGACTAGCGCCAGTCCACACCCACAAGCGGAGAAATTCACGGCCCTCGACAATTTCTTTTCTCAAGCATTCAGCGCAGAGCCATACCATAAGAATTTCAACTTCTTTTGGAAGACTGTAGCAATCATGTCCAAGATCACAGTCGGTACGTCTCACCTCATGCTCTTACTTGCATGATCTTGCCACTAACTGCTCTTGTCTCATTACAGCCGGAGTGCGCCAGAATGTCGAGAACCTTCTCAACTACTCTCTCAATGAGAAGAAGCGTAACTTCAACGAGACCGTTGAGCTTCAGATCGGCCTGAAGAACTACGATCCCCAGCGCGATAAGCGTTTCTCCGGCACCATCAAGCTGCCTACCGTCCCCCGCCCCAACATGGCCATCTGGTGCGTTTTCCCTCGACAACCCCTCCTGCGGCGCAAAACTTTACATCCGTTTACTATGCGCAACGGCGAAGGAAATCTACACTTTGAATGAACTTGAGGCTAACAGACGAAATCTATAGTATTCTTGGTGACCAGCACGATCTTGACCGTGCTAAGCACCACAGCATCGATGCCATGTCCGTTGACGATCTCAAGAAGCTCAACAAGAACAAGAAGCTCATCAAGAAGCTTGCTCGCAAGTACGATGCCTTCCTTGCTTCCGAGGGTCTCATCAAGCAGATTCCCCGTCTCCTCGGTCCCGGTCTCTCCAAGGCCGGAAAGTTCCCTACCCCCGTCTCCCACGCTGAGGACATGGCCGTCAAGGTCACCGACGTCAAGTCCACCATCAAGTTCCAGCTCAAGAAGGTTCTGTGCCTCGGTGTTGCCATCGGTAACGTCGAGATGGAGAAGGAGGCTCTTGTTGCCAACCTGATGCTCGCCATCAACTACCTCGTCTCCCTCCTCAAGAAGGGCTGGCAGAACGTTGGCAGTCTTGTCATCAAGGCTTCCATGTCTCCCCCCCACCGTGTCTACTAGATTATCTGTCGCTTAACTGCGCCGGTGTTTTCTAGTTTGGGCCTGAGAACTGGGTTTATGTCATCGTCTCACGACTGAAAAAAATATGAAGCTCATGATCGGTCTCAATTTTCTATCTCCATCTCGTAATTTTTACCCCCGGTACAATGTAGTTGTATAGATAAATCTTAAGAATTGTATTGTACATGGCTCATTATGTGTGAAATAAGAGACTATTATGATACACATGCATGGAATCAAGTTACTCCATGCCTTCCATCAATTCGGTCTTATCTAGAATCATGCCCCGCATGCCAATGAACTCACGAAGACTTTCCCACTCTTCGCCAACCTCCTCGCCTCTCATATAAGGATCCTTGAAACCCCACGCGACAGCAACTCTATCCATGGCAGCGCGCTCTTCCTCGCGCAACCACCGTTGCCGCAGAGGGATACCAGGGATCCAGACCACACGCTCCATCTGATCGTTAGCAGTGGTGATGGCCAAGATACCCATGGAGGATGTACCCCCAACATAAGCTAGTGTAGCGGCGAACGCAATCCCAGTTGCTACGTTGGGATCCATTGTATTCTGGAATGTAGCGGCCCATGATGCGAGAGCATAACAAGCGGCTGGGGCAGCTGCAAGACCAGCTATAGGGACACCAGCTTTCTTGAAGATCTTTGCGCGGTGGAAGGCGGGGGCGCAGAAAGTGTTGTCAATGATGGCTAGCACGAGCGAGAGGTTTTTCTGTGCAATGGCGACCCCAAGAGCCATGTTAGCCAAACCCGCCGGAACGGCGCTGTTGATACTCTTAGGGTTGGCCTTGAGCAACTTCACTGGAGAGCTGCCCTGCTCTGGGATAGGCTTGTAGGCGTAAAGGTGGAAGATCTCGGGGAAGTGCTCTGCCCGTTGCAGCATAGTCAGGGTCTCGGTGCAGGAGGCCAGAGCTTCAGGTGAAATGAAGACCTTCTCGTCCTTCAAAAGTTCAATGGCAATCTGTGAGACTGAATCTGCTAGTCGTGGGTCCGGGTATTGTGAGGACTTTGGTTTTCCTTTGCTCTTCGCGGCGGTTTGCTTCTCCTCCAGGTCTAGTAAGGAAGAGATCGCGCTGCCCTCCCCATTTAAGGACCCCTCGCTTTGATCCCGTGCTCGCGAGACAAGGGATTCGGCGACGCGTTGACATCTTTGTAGTAATTCTACTACCACCTCATTGGAGGCCACCGTGTTTGATTGATGCAGGGCAGATGCATCCTGCGCAATCTCTTTGATTGCAGCCTCCGGGCTTATTCTAGTGGATGCGGTAGAAGCATATCGGCGAGAAATAAGCAGAGGAGAGCCCAATACCAAACTATCAGTTCGTTTCAAGGGTTGTAAACGGAGATTGGAGGCCGCGGCTCGACTTGCGCGAACGGCGGGTAGTCGCGCGATAGGGAGGCCACGACGGGGCGTTGAAGTCGAGAATTGACATAATTGACAGATCGGACCCTGTGGCCGGGAGCCTTTATTTGCTGTTAGAGCAACTCTTTTCATGGCTGTGGTGATGAGTAACGTTGTGAGGCAGCTGTATTTTTTTCCCGGATGGGAGAGTCCAGGCGGAGACTTCGCCCCGGCGCTGTCCACTTCCCCGTACTCGTACCCTGACGTCTTCTTACTTCTCTGCCTAACAACTCCATGTTCCTTTTATTCAAGGAACACATCCTTCCGACCTGATTACTTTCTGAATTATATGCAATTGTCTACTTGATAATCTCATCATCTGATCCCCAAACATGCCACCACCTCCTCCCCCGCCGCCGCCGCCGCCGCCGGGAGGTTTGGGTGGTCCTCCCCCGCCGCCCCCTCCAGGAGGTCTCCCAGGAAGACCTCCTAAAGGACAGGCTAAAGACCGGGTATGTATATGGGGTGCTTAAGTTTCCTTGCTGCAAGCAGTTTGTCCCTCAAGGAATTCAGTAGCTAACCTATAGATAGGGTGCACTTCTTTCTGATATCCACAAGGGCGCCAGGCTGAAGAAGGCCGTTACCAATGATCGATCAGCACCTGTAATTGGAGGTTCAGGAGGCGTTTCAGCAGCTCCTCCCGTCGCGGGTGCGCCGCCGGTTCCTGGTGCGAGGCCGCCTCCAAGCGGGCTTGCACCGCCTGTACCATCCGGCCCTGCCGCGAATCGATTACGGAGTAACAGCGAAGGAGTTTCTGGGACAGATAGCGCAGCCATTGCAACGCCACCCCAATTAGGGGGGATATTTGCTGGTGGGATGCCCAAGTTACGCAGTCGTGGAGGTGTTGATACAGGTGCCAATCGAGACTCGCCATATATCTCTGATTCACCTGCTGCGCCAGCTCCCAAGCCTCCAACAGCTCCCAGACCTCCTGGAGCCAGGCCGCCTCCCCGTCCCTCATCGACAGATTTGCCACCTGCACCACCAGTCAATCCACTGGTTGCCGGCTTGAAGAAGCCTCCCCCGAGACCGGCTTCACGATCCTCATCTACAGTTTCAGCGCCAGCTACGAAGGCCCCTGAAGCGCCGCCTCCGCGCGCGCCCCCCCTACCTCCAGCACCGGGGAGGTTTCCACCACCGCCTACATCTAGAAAACCGTCCGGACCCCCACCACCTCCCCCATCAGCCCCCGCAACTCGGGCACCTCCTCCCCCGCCGGCTGCTTCTAGATCGACACCACCCCCTCCCCCTTCAGTAGCCCCGCCATCAATTGCTGCGCAGGCTGCCCGTTCCGCCCTGGGACATTCTTCGCCTTCAGCACCTCCCCCGCCACCCCCATCAGCTGCCCCAGGTGCTCCACCACCACCGCCTCCAACTTCACTTCCTGCAGCTCCGCCAAGCGAGCCACCATCCCGACCATCCCCTGTTTCCTCTCGCCCTGTCTCCCACGAACCCTTTGCAGCGCTGGACCCCAGCGCTTATACACTTTCCAATGGTGGATTGCCTGCACCAAGCTCACGAGGCCCTGCAACACAAGGACATGGCCCAGTCCGAATAGAAGACCCGCGATTCAAATTCCAAAGCGATGGGCTGCTTCCCAAACCACGGCAATTTATCGGGGGAGACCGTCGATACCGCGCTGGAAGGGGCAGCAGTGTTCCTTTGGATCTGAGTGCTTTGCGAGGCTGAATGGAGTGCATGGGAAAATTGCGGGCGATATCGTGCACACATAGTGAATTGCTATACATAAATCTTTTTATATTAGAGTCATTTATGTAGATCATGGTCACTGTAGCAAAGTTTGTACAACAAAACCTATGTTTTCCAACTTATAAACCTCATTGGTCTCCTCTAATTAAACAGTATAAAATGGTACTATCTACCTCTCCCATAAGCTTCCGCACGTGATCTAATCGGGGATGTCAATCGTCCGTCGTGGAAAACAACCATGAAGCACCAAGACAAGCGCTGCCATCAATCCCTTCGCTATCAGTCAAGATCATCACCGACTGGCGTCTTTCTAGAGTTTTATTGATATCATTCAGGAGGATTCTCGCAATCTGCACTTAAGATTCGACAAACAGCACAAACACGCTCTGCGCTATTGCCATCACCTCCCATTCAATTGGCCTCGAACTTTAAACGGAGCTCCTACAGCTTTGATTTTTCCTCGACAAGCTTGAGGATTCTCAGCAAGCCAAACTTACCGCGCTACGACCAACCGCGCCCAATCCGGCTCTTTACCTCGAACACTTTTTGCGCGAAGTGACGGACTGCGAAGTGAACGAGGATCCACGAACTTTCTCCTGCTCACGCAAAGCAAGAGAACTACCCCGAGCCTAGTGACAGGACCACCACCGAGCTAGAGACACAGCTCGATTCCGACTCAGCGGTGCATCTAACTGTACCCGATCAACCGCAAAATTGAGATACCCTTGCACCTTACCTTGTTGAACCGCCGCTCTCCCATCCAACATGTCTCTCCACTTTTACGTCAATAGTGAGTTTTACAGTTAGCTGAAATGCTTTACGTATCCATCTCCTACAACCATAGACCAAGTGCTAACCAACCTCGACTAAACAGAAAAAGTCCTCATCCTCACAGTAGACGGCCGCACACTCATCGGTGATCTTCTGTCAACCGATCAAACGACCAATCTTGTCCTCGCTAATACCATTGAGCGCATCATCCGCACCCCAGACGACGACGAGCCCTCCACCGAAATTGAGCATGGGCTGTACCTGATCCGCGGTGACAACGTCGTGGTGTGCGGTGAAATAGACGAAAAAATGGACGGAGACATCGACTGGTCCAAGGTGAAAGGTGAGGTAATCCGAGACACGAAGAATGCATGACGGGGTTTGCACGGTGCTATTTTCCATTGTCATTTTTCGGGCGTTTTGGGGAGACCATTTGCATGCGATACAATGCTTCAGCAAGCCGATGAATCCTAGAGTTTGCCAGCGTTGCGTGTGGCCCTTTACTATTGAAACCGCCGTTGCGGGCTTGGCCCTTGGCCCTACAACGATGCGCAGATACGCTGGGCTGTCGAATATCGATCTGTCATGTTTTGATTATGTTCCGTTGGTTGTGAACCTACAACGATCTCTGACGGGCTGTCGATGATGTACTCTCTTGACATCTCCGATGTGCAATGATGCAATGGCCAAAGCATATAGGAGGGGCTACATATGGGGATTTGCTATCAATTCAGCATTCTTGCCCCTCGAATGACTTTGCGGGGGCAAGAGCACAGACGACGCTGGGCACACAAAGACAGTGGATTTACAACAGGGGGCGGACTCTCCTACTACTTGCCTCTCCCAAGTATCCAAGTATGATATGTCCAGGGCCCCTACATTCCAGAGGAATGTGAATTTACATCAGCAGTATGATTCGATATAGGGGCATGAATTACCATTCCAATTATTTTTCTACATTCTCTCTATGAAAGAAAGGAGTACTCCGTAATTTCCTACCGTTTGCAGCCACATTCCTTCTTGACTCCACGCGGGAAGATGCCAAGACCACCTCGTACAACGGTGTATGGGAGTACTACATACAATATGTAGTACCCTCGTAGAAAGAAAGAAAATGTTCTCAAGGCAAAGAGAGTCAGATATAGAGAACTAGGCAGTCATATTACTTACATACGGAGTACTCCGTAGTCAAGTCAGATCTGGACGGAGTATGATTATTGTACAACTCACACACCCTAGTCTCTTAGGCCCCTGTCGGGCCTTGGCGCAGTAAGTTAGGAGGCTACTGTGGCAATGTGAGGTGTACAATGTAGGAATCGGCTTAAAGATTTTCAAAAAAGAAGTAGTCGGTCAAGTGAATTGATCATATACATTTGCATTTTATATGTATATACCCATGTAATACCCAAGTTAGGCCGCAAACAGTGAAAAATCAAATCTGAGGGAAAAAACTAAAGACGAAACACAACCCCAGGCAGAAACTCCCTACGCCCCCTCAGATCTCCCCTAATTGCCATTTCATCTTACACTTCCTTTCTTACTCTCTTTCTCTCCCAACTATTTTTTACCCTCTCTTGTCCCTACAGATCGCTGGGCGATCTCCAATTACTACATCTATCTCTCTATCCCGCCCCTTTCCGCAGTTCCCCTCCCCCCTATCCGCCCAGCCCTTCATGTGTCCGATAGTACCACTACAACACAACAAGCGAATACTGGGTCAATTCCAGCAGTTTTTCCGGGCGAATAGCCCGTCGTGAACGACGGTTTACAACTATTAGCTACAAAGCCCCCAATAAACCGATATTCCCCACTCTATTCCCCGCGCCAGCCATGTGGCTCTATCGGGGCGCCCAGTCCGCAGTCTTCTACTATGCCACTTGCACCCCCTGCGCCGAAAACTTCGATCGTCGGAAACGTAGAAAGGATGCTTCCCGGGTCCAGCGGGAGAAGGAGAAGGAACGACGCAACAACGAAGTCATCACCGACCAACCCCGTCCATTCGCACAGCCAACCCCTTTCAGCACCAATGTAGGCTGGCGGGAGGAAATCTCCCTAGGTCCTGGTCCCCCAGCCCGTCGGGGTGGTCATCGCAATATTCAACGAACGGACAGTTGGAATACTGACCAGAGCTCGCAACTTAAGAAAGACAAGAGTGGTGGCCTGATGCACCCGCTCGGCGAGAAGTGGAAGTCGATGCGGTACCAACGAGAAGATGAGCCTCTTTGGGGACAACAAGAAGTCCGCGGATCGTCCATTGGATTCTCTGGACGTGGTCGTGCAGACCCGAACGAAACCTCCAAGTACTACATCCCCCGCGTGCCGCCTGTGAACGACCTCCACCCACCCATTGTTAGTGGACCGTCCAGCCGTGCCGATACTAGATGGATGCTCCAGCCTCCGCCAAGTGCCAGAGTGATGGCTGGTAAAGCAGACGTTAATTCCGTCACTTCCCCGACTTGTGAGGCTTTCCAGGGGTTTGGCACCATCTCCCGGGCTCCCAAGAGCGTGGCCAGGGAGAACGACACAGGAAGAATCAGCGAGGAGACTGGCGACGGCGCTCTAGATGACACCACTCAGAACCATCAAACTCAGCGACCATCGCTAACTCGACTCCGTATCGAATCCGATGCTCCAGGCCTAGAGTCACACTCTCGAACTGACTCTATGTTCTCCTCCACCAACTCGGCGGATAGTCTTGAATGGAAATACCCCGACACCCCCAGATCCCGCCCTCAATCGAAAGCCACAGATGACGTTGACAAGTTCTACCGCCCACAAATCTCGAAGACTCTCTCCACAATGCACAAGGACAACAAGAAGGTCCACATGCTACATCTAGAGATCAACGACGACAACCGCGATGATATTAGCCTGGGTCAATTACAGCCCATCCGCCCATGGCGTTGGAGCATGGACATCTAAAAGCCTTTCAAACACATATCCTACCACAACTATCACCCTCGAAAATCCTATCACCCTTCTATTCACCTTCCCCAGGTTTCAGCTATACGGCGTTTGAAGCATCAAGACCATTCAGCATTTGCATTTTTGCATTTTATTTTCCCAGGGCTCTCCGAGACCCCCCTTTTCCGCGTTTACCGAGTGATACATGACCTCTCGAAGCAAACACCCACCCTCTCGCTCCGGGACCCCAGGTCCCACATAAGAATGTACCTGGCTGGTCCGGTATAAAAGCGAAATGCATTACATCGTCTGCAACAGTTCCTCCGTTTCTTCTTCACAGTGGCAAGCGAACAGGCGAGTTCACCATGACAACACTCCTTTCTATCATTTCACACTCTTTTTCCTTGTCTCTTGTTTGTTTCCCAGCACTTTGTGGCCTTTTCTATTCTTCTTCTTTCCTTCAATTCCTAGATATTATCTCTTACTTGTACCATAATCACTCCCTCCCCTGTTTGGGTTAACAGTACATAGCGTTTGACCAATGGATGTTTTTCTCGTTTTGGACATTGAATCAGTCTAGATAAAATACATAATATAAATAGATTGCAATGCTTCTTTTATCTCAGGGTTTTTCAACAAGTCTAGAAGCTGCTGTTCTTCATGGAAATTTGGGGTATGGCTACAATATATTTCAACACCCACCTTCAATATATATGATAAAATTTGATGTAAACAACATATCTCTAATAAATCATGGATATAATATGTAGCAGGAAAAACAAGCGCCTAGTACTAGCCAATACTTCTCCAGCAAGTAATATTCTACATGGAACATGTGGGGGAGTTGAACATTGGGCAAAAAGAGGAATATATAGGGGGGTAGCTTTCGAGTGGACCTCGGTACTTCTAGTGCCACCTCTCGCTAGACACAGCCATTGTACGCTACTATTACTTGATGCCAGGAAATGATCATGCAGATATGCGTCGCATTGAGCGTTAAATTTTCGATTTAACTTGTCTTTGTGATAGATGCAATTCAAATGCACATCAAAAACATCGTATGCAGAGGACATGTCTTTCTGATCTCGATAAAACAAGAGACCAGGACACGAAAGTTCGAGGAAGAACAGCTCAAAAATAAAGACGCAAGAGAGTAGACCGTTGGATCTCCTCGGCGTTTCAAAACCATCCCAAATGCAAACAACGCCCAACCCGGCCACGCATAGCATCTATAAAACAATCAAGGGTCTAAAGGGGCCCGTATCTAAATGCTCAGAGCCCGCGGAGCACCAGCCAGGCCGCCCTTTGTTGATTTTTTCGTCCCTCTTCGCTGTATTTGCTAAATGGATGCAGATGCCGGGAGATATAAAGAGAGCAGGAGAATCACGTTTTGATCTCCTTCTGCTCTAGTAGACCTTCTTCTTCTCGTCCATGCTCAATTGGCCGGGGCCCATGTTGACGAGGAGGACCAAACCACCACTGTAGAGTCATTAGCGTTGAACATGTCTCGTTATTGGGAGATAGGGAACATACACAATCGACAAGATTTGGAAGAAGTCGTACTTGGCGAAGTCCTTCTGCGGGTGGTGGGCGTGCAGCTAGAGGGAATTGTTAGTGACCAAAGATACAACCAAGTGCCTAGTAAACATACCGTCCAGAAGTTGTTCACAAACACGTTGAACAGACTGAGCAGGACAACAAGAATGATGGCGCTCCACTTGGCCTTGAAGCCAACAATGACCATGACGCAAGCGACGAGACCGAACAAGCTGACCAGAATGCGCCAGAAGCTCCACTCGCCGGAGAAAACGAACCCGACGAAGAGGAAGATCAGCAGCACACGACCAGCGAACTGGACGTACATCTTGCGATCCTTCTCATCGAGCTGGGGAAGACCGGCGGGGACGAACTTCTTGCGCACCCACGAATCAGACAGGACCATAAGCAGACCGCCGACAACACTCAGATTGCGAAGGAAGAAGTTCAAGTCGAAGATGAGACCGTAACCAAGACCCTGTGTGATGACGACACCAAGCAATCCCGCGACGGCGAACTCGGTGCGTTTGCGGGCGATGACAAGAGTCGAACAAACAGCCATGGCAATGACATTAACGATAAGGAAGGTGTGCGTGATTCCCCAAGGAACTAAATGCAGCAAAAGAAAAGCGCGTTAGACAAGGATGTAGAGGTAGTGTGGGACCCTGGACCCCCCCCAGTCTCGCGCGGGTCAGGGTCCAGGAGCATGGGTATTGTCTTACTCTTCCGGAAATCACGGAGATAAAGGAGCTGATCGTTCCATTGTGTGATAATGCGCAGGGAGTCTTCGATAAAGGTGACTACAATCAGGAATCGGCCGATGGCGGGAAGGTATCTAGAGAGCGAAAGAACAGGGTGTTAGTGCATGCTTCGAATCCCTTGTTTTGAGCTCTCTCGCGACTCGATCCACGACACGGGTAGAGCAAGAGCAAAAGAAAAGAGTGAAATTGAAACATACGGCTTCACTGGATCGGCCAAGGTGTCCAACCAGTCCTCAATCTTGCTTGTCTGCTCGCGAATTGCGTCCAGTGGACTTGGGTCGCTGGTGGCATCTGCGCTACCGGGCCCGCCAAACGGGTTCTGGTGGCCGAGGTTGTAGCCCGCAGTGCCACGAATTTGGGCCATGACGGAAGAATGAAACAAAAATAGATTGAGGAAAAGAAGGAGAAGAAGAAATTGGAGTTGAGTTCTCACAGGTTGGGGAAGAAGAAGTCTTAAGACAGGAGCAAATACCAAGGAGTTGTATACAAAGCAACTTCAGGCCACGATAACCGGAACTGGCCGCTAAACCGCTTTTGGAATAGTGACGACACAAGACTCTAGGGTGATCTATATACATAACTTCTGAAGATTGTTAGAAAGCTCTACATTCTTGCGCTTTATTTTATTTTAGATCATTGGTGATGATTTCATTGCAATACAGATTTTGTCAGTTAGACTAACAAAGTAAAAAAAAAAGAAACTTGCACAAACACAGCGTCAGATCCATTCCCGCAATTCTGCTTTTGTTCCCGCAGTGCAGTTCTTCCTCCTTGCACAACTTGCAAGGGGAATCTACCAATCCCGCTCCTAATGCGTGGTGGCAATCTCCCAGGCCCCGATTGTAGAGGGGAGGGAGAGTGCTCGAATGATGTGACACCCCCAGAACGCCAAAAGAAAAACAAAACAAAAAGAAATAGAAAAACAAAAACAAAAAAGGGTAATAAATACATTTCAAGATGAAGAGGGAATGGGAGTGATAGACAGACTTCATGACAGAGAAAACTGCTCACGCAGCCCAGTCAGAGTCCAGTGGGTGGCCCTTCTCACGCGAGCGCAAGATGTCGGGCAGGTAGGTTGGAGTCACGGTCACACGGGGCTCAATGGGGGCAGGAGCGACAGGAGTGGACTGGTTCTCCGAAGCACTGGTGTCGCTGACACTCTCGTCAGATCTGCCACCCTTCTTCTTGGGCTGCTTCTTGGAAACAGTGGTCCATTCGTCATCTCCGTTGGCAGCTCCCAAGAGGCGCATCTGCTCTTCCTCGGAGGGAAGGTTCTGGGCCCACTTAGTAGGAGTAGGGGCAGCAGGGGACTCGAAGGTGTCCAGCAGGCCCTGGGAGGCAGAAGTGGCAGGGACGACGGGGGCGGGGCGGGATCCGCCATTGACCCCGTTGGTCTTCACTGGAGCAGCGTTCTCCTTGGCCTGCCAAGCGTTGGCAGCGGGCGCAGTTGATCGGGCAGCCTCGCGGCGCTCAGACTCGCGAGCGGTGTGCAACTGCTTCTCAAGCAGCTTCTTGCGCTCAACCTCAGCCTCCTGGACTTGCTGCTTGCGGGCCTCGTTCTTGAGACGCTGCTGGCGCTGCTTCTTGGTCTCCACCTCCTTGAAAGCCTGAACCTTCTGCTTCTTGGGCTGGCTCTCAACATTGCCAGTAACACGGAGCACAGATGCACCGGGGGCGGGGGCCTCCAGCATGTCGGAAATATATCCGGCCGAGGGGACAGTGGCGTTCACCGCGGGGGAGGCGGCGGGAGACAGATCGTCATCAGCCTCAGCACCAGTGGTCGAGGAAGCACGGGTGTCGCTAGTCTCAAGCTGCGCAGCCTTCTTCTTGTTCTTCTTCTGGCTCTTGGTGGGAGCGGGCTTGGCGGGAGCGGGCTGAGCAGGAGCGTTGGTCTTGAGGCCGGCCATACGGCGGGCCATCTCCTTGCGGTCAATTTCCTCATCTGGCTTCTCGTCCTCGGTGGTGGGGGGCGACACGACGGTCTTCACCTCGGATTTCTTGGCGGCAACCGGCTCGGGAGCAGGCTTAGACTTGCGCTTTGACTTCTTGGGTGCTACAGTGGTCTCTGTTTTCTCCACAGCAGCTCTTATCACGTTGGCCTTGGGGGTTGTGCCATTGGTGTAGTACCAGCCAAGGCCACCTGCCACGACGAGCAAGATCGCCCAGCTAATGTAGGGATTCATGGTCATAGAGCTGTGCACTCATCAGTCAGTACCATCAACGGGTGTCAATGTGGTTGCCAGCATGGAACTTACTGTCCGAGTGAAAGCTATGTAGGCGGAGGATGGGTTTTGGTTGAGAGGGGAGGTGGGACAGTTGCCGAGTGAGAGGGTAGGACAATTGCGCACGCGCACTTTGAAATTGACACGCGCACCAAAAGCTGAGACAATTGCGCTCAGCTAGAGAAGCTTTCCGTCTCTGAAGGGAAGGTCTTCAAGACGAGACTCCCAAGGCGTCGGTCAATTGGACCGTAGTGCGCTTGGATGGGACAAGACGCGGGGTGACAAAGCCGCTAATAGGAGTGATGGGAATAGCGCAATGGCGCAAGAGGAAGATAGGATAAACAAGAGAAGAAGTTGAAGAGAGTAGAAGATGAGAAAGGAGGAAAGGCGAGGAGTAGAGGAAAGGGCAACCGTGGCAGATCCACTCGTACTGTGACGGTAATGGTAAATTACCAAGCCCTTGGCTTTGGAGTAATTGTAAAATATTCTATTCTCTACTTTGTCATCTTTGGTTTGTTCTTTTGGTCTTAAACTATATTGAAGTTTCGATAGATCATCTCCATGTTGACTTGATTTTCTACCTATAATAGTACTGGTCCTTGAGGATGAAGAATGTGATGCTCATGGTACGGTATGGGGATCTGAGCATTGACTACTCCGTATACTGCAAGCTGTCATCAATATATTATTGTAATCAACATACTCCGTACTCCGTACCTGGGGAACAGTGCTTTGGCTAATCTGCTAAGTAGCTCCAAAAGATATGAGGAGATATGTATTATTTTCCCTGAACAGGCCACGTCTCTATTTTCTCTCCGCTTTCTCTCTAAATCGATTTATATCTTACTAGCGCGTTCTGGGGCGTAAAAGGACCTCCTGAGCATTTATTTGTTTGTTTAACATTCGATTAATCGATTTTTCCGGGAACCGGGAAGCTTGGGGTTTGCCGATCCGGCAGGGGATCTCTTCTTAAATGTTCTTTTACCCCTTACACTAGACTAGCCCTCACACCACGAGGAAAGGAGTTATGTGCCGGTTACAACAGACAACCCAATCCAATTGGTGGGCCAAGTCATGCATTTAACGCCTGTGAAGCATGTCGAATCCTGGTCAACGAGTCTAAGACCTGCAGTATGCAGCGGCACCTTGAAAGGAGGGCCGGGATTGGCTCACCGGTCATGCACTCCTTAAAATGCAATTTGAATATGTCTTCGACATCAGACTAGTTTCCTACTCCTTTGTGTCTTATTGGCTATACCGTACTCATGTTCTTCTTTGTTCCTATTTTTGCCTTCTGTTCCACTATTTTTTCAGACTGTCCTCTCTACTCCGAATATGATTCTCTTTGAACAGCTGACTATTCCGTACTAAGATCTAAGATGGAAGCTATTGTGACTAATGCTAATTAATAGCCCTCTACTCCGTAGTGGTTTCGATGATCGTAAGTATTATACAACATATACAACATACCCAAAATAGTCCTATTATGTAAATAGTACCATGTACGGAGTACTCATGGGAATATCATCTGAAAAATCTAATACGACTACTCCGTAGGGTGTTGCGATATGCAGACATAAAGACTAAAAAGGCAAAAGCTGAAAATGTATATTTCTATTGGAGTCAATTGAAGAAGTGAGCTTGTCTACCTCTCATCGATTTGAAAAGTCCTTTCCAGGTCTTGATCGACATAGAGTCATAGCAAGACTGAACTGAAGGTTTGCTGATAAATCAGAAACAGCGAGCAATATCGCAGTACTAGAAGCAGGCATATTCGAACGACATCTAGTCTCAAAATTGTATACGTATATTCATGGATGCCTCGAGATCCCAGGCTCCCTTGGGACCGCGCGCTCAGGGAAGCAGGGATAGTAGATGAAGCGGGGCAAATTTGAACGACATCTATGTTATAGTCTCAAAATTGCATACGTATATTCATGGATGCCTCAAGATCCTAGGCTCCCTTAGGGCCGCATGCTCAGGGAAACAGGTTGCCTGCCCAATAAATATGTGTTAAATAGCTCGAACATCCTATGTTGAACTATTATAAAACGCAAATACTTCTGAAATCCTGACTTTTCCCAACTGACTCGCTGTGCCTTTCAAGACTATTGCTGAAGCCACAATAATATTTCCTACAAGCAACATAGACGGTGATCATGCATCATAACACAGAACCCACAGCTAGCGCATCGGCCAAAGACACCGAAGTTGAACAACCAGTCGCACCTGACCTTACTCCCATTGCTATAGCAGCTCGAGGGAGAGAGATCACTGGTCTGAGAATCTTCCAAAGAACAATAGCCGAGGACGATATCACGCGGACCAGGCTAGAGGAGCTCCTTTTGGCAATGAACACCGACCAGCCAACCGGAGGCGTGGACATGACATATGGCAATGGGGACGCCCAGCATCTCCGTTATTGGGAGTCCAAATCCACCGACGCTCCGATCATCCTCTTTGTCCACGGTGGCAGTTGGCGATCAGGGACGTATTTGGACTCGATTGGGTCGACAAAAGTTGCCCATTTGACCAGCCAGGGTTATGCATTTGCCACTGTCAACTACACGCTCATACCGTCTGTGACGGTGGAAGAGCAGGTGCAGGAGGTGGCTGACTCGCTGGGTTACCTGGTTAAAAATGCAGCCAGGCTAGGCTTTGATCCTCAACGGATCATTCTGATGGGACACAGTTCCGGTGCACACGTTGTTACGCTGCTGGGGACCGACAAAAGATACCTGGAGAAGGCAGGAATCAATATTCATACCGTGCGGGCGGTTATCTCTCTCGACGGCTCAAATTACAACGCACTGGCGGAGATCGCCGACAGTCCGGGGCCGGTAGCGGAGAACACAACTATAGGGCTCGGCACTGATCCGAAACGTCTGCAAGATGTCTCACCTACTTATCATGCCCGCGCGCCAAACGCAGGCGCATTTCTGCTTCTTCAAGTTCAAAGGCAAGGTGATATCCGTCAGGCTGTCGAGCTATCCGCGGCGCTGGAAGCTGCAGGTACCGATGTTGCTTTGCACGTGTTCGAGGGCGAAAGTTTCGAGGGCCATATGCAAATGCTACTACGCCTTGGTGATACCACCTATCCTGCGACATTGGTTATGGATAAGTGGCTCAAGGTGCATGTTCCAGTAACAATTTCAAGTGCATGATCACTTTCATCGCTCCAAAAGTGCCCCACACAGCAAACCTTGGCAGATAGAAACTATGTTATTACCAAACACAAGGCATTTCTCCTGAGCTTACAAAGTAGGCGTTGAATCTGCCATCTGGTGGGCACAGTGAGGCTCGGGTTGATAACGGGGACCGCCGGTTACCGGAATTCGAGCCCAAGCCTAGATTAGGGTCTTCTTTTTTCGTTCTGAATATAAAATATACCTCTCATCGCTTAGAATCGGACTGCAACGTAAATTTTATCCTTAATAACAGTGGGGCCTCTAATATAACCGTTGAAAGTGTCCAATATATAAGTTGCCCACGAGGGGTAAATAGGCAGGCGAAACCCCCGCAGCCGATAACAAAGATAAGCTCCCACTTTTATCATCTCCAGGGCTTCAAAATTTGAAGCTCAACAACATTCACCATGGGCAAGAAGATTATTATTGACACTGATCCGGTATGCCCTTCTGAATTCCATTGCCATAGCTTCAGCATTAACCATAGCACAGGGCATTGACGATGTCCTCGCCCTTTTGCTGGCTCTGTCCGCCACACCGGAGGAGGTAGAGGTTATCCTCATCTCATTGACATTCGGCAATATCGAGGTCGAGAGGTAAGTAATCGTTTTATCTGAAAGAGTGCATTATCTGACCTGATATACAGCTGTCTCCGCAATGCAGTGTCAATGTTCCACATCCTCGAGCGGGAGATGCAGTGGCGCCGCGAGAACGGCCGACCCGAAGGCTTTGGCAGCTTGAAAGCTTCCCGTCCTATATTGGCTGTCGGCGCAGAAGACCCCCTTGAAGACCAGAAAATGCTTGCGGACTACTTCCGTATGTATTGCTTTACCATACTATAGACACCGTTTACTGACATCCTCGCAGATGGAACCGACGGACTTGGTGGTATTCACGCCACGGTATGCGAAGCCCCATATAGGCCTTTGATATGGCCTAGAAATAGGTAAACCATACTAACTTCTAAATAGCACCCACATCTCACCGCTAATAAGGCATGGGTACACCTCTTCGCTAAAGAGCTGGAGGGCGAGGGAATCAAGCCTGTCGAGGACTGCTCAGGTCCCGAAGACCACGCATTCACCCCGTCCAAGCTTCCGGCATACAAGGAGATTCTCCGTGCCCTCCGTGATAATGAGCCAGATTCAGTGACTCTGGTAGCAGTTGGCCCGCTCACTAATCTGGCTTTGGCTGCAGCAGAAGACCCAGAGACATTCCTTCGCGTGAAAGAGGTGGTCGTCATGGGCGGTGCTATCAACGAGCCCGGAAATGTGAGCCAAGCCTTTTCCGAGAACTAAGAAGTATCGAGACAGATTGGCTGATATTATTAATAGGTGACACCAACAGGCGAGTTCAATGCCTACGCAGACGCAGTGGCAGCCGCACGCATTTTCGCACTCACCTCGCCCAACCCACACACGACAGTTCCACCCACAAAGAGCGACAAACTCCCACCGTACCCTCAAAACCTCAGCCGGCAACTGACTCTGCGTCTTTTCCCGCTGGACATCACCCTCCGCCACAATCTATCACGCGGCCAGTTCCGGGAGGCCATTACTCCTCTTTTGGCTGCCGGCTCCCCGCTCGCCGAGTGGGTGGATGCCTTCATGGGACACACCTTCAGAACCTTGGAGCGCCTGCACCCTGGACATGTTGGCGATGATGCTCAGCTGAGTCTGCACGACCCTGTGTGCGTCTGGTATGCTTTGACATCCGAAGACCCCAAGTGGGTTTACTCAGCGAACTCGCCTGAGGATATCCGAATCGATACCTTGGGCCAGTGGACTCGTGGTATGTGCGTTGTCGACCGCCGCAACCGACACCGCATCGAAGGTGAGGAGGAGAGCTCGAATGACCATGGTCTCTGGCTGAGCGGGCGTGCTGGCAATCGCATTTGGCGGATGGATGGGTCGCCTGGGGAGGAGAACTTTGGTGATGTCATTATAGAGAGGCTCTTCAAGTAATCTCCGTTTGATAGATAAAGCGGAACGTATTTGGTGGGTATAGATGCATATAGCCATTGATTTCTATAGAGACTGAAATATGGTGTCTCTTTTTGGACCGTGATAATATCTATCTAGCAATCTCAAGCATTGTTTGGTGTGGCCGACCTATATATGGTTACGCAAATGATAGTGAGCCATTGGGTAAACAGAGCGAGCTAGTAATGTACCAAAATAGCTCTCAGCAATGCCATCCGTAGGATCTGGTTTGCACTCCTGTCATATCGAGCCATATATAAGCCCTATCCACTATAACGGCGGACGCAGTCAAGTGTGACGCCAAGCTTCTTTTTAGTTTCTCCCTTGGAGTATGACTGGGCTAATGTCCGGAGATCGCCACCTGCTGGAATGTACGGACTATGCGAAGTGTTGACATCAACTACATCGAGAGGCCAAGAACCGATCAATTCCTAGCGACCATCCACCTTCCTGAACTTATTTCTATTCTTCATATTTTCTCTACATCTTATAACATGTAGCTCACAACCCTCTTGGCTGTCTGCGTGGCTGCCCTGACTAGTACCGACGGTGTAATGCCCCGTCTCTTCGGGGCGTACCACGGTGCCCGCATCTCAGTCCGTGTCCCTACCAATGGGACTAGTTCCCACAATGCTACTACAGCGGGTACACGGGGCAAAGCTTTGCTGTGGATGGGATCGTCTCATGTGAATCGGGTTAATGTTGACCGCTGTCATGAGCTGTGCTCTTTGTAGTCTCAGACTTGCTCGATTGCTGTACCGGATGATGATAAGTTTTGGTGAGTTTCTTTTGCCTTTTATTAATTTATATGTAATTGGGCTAGCATACTGTTTTTAGCTGCTCCGTTTACTTGCAATGTACGGAGAAGTGCCACAATGGGAATTTATATAAACAGATATAATTGAATATTGGAAACAAATGGATAAAAGCGATCGTTGAGTGTTATGGGCCATGTGATGTGATTTGAATTGTATATAAATCAATTGAAGTCTTTATGTAATTTGTCGTTATGTCTTGAAAATTAGGTACCACCTGTATATGTAGACCAAAACATTAAATATCGAAAGGACAATGGGTTGGTTTTGTAGTCAGCAAGTAGCCTTAGAGCAACTAGGTAACTAGTTAATTGTTGCCGTTTAACGATGATGCGCTTGTTGTGTAGGAAATATTGGGACAAGAGCTGTTGCAGCCAGTCCCAGATCAAATTGAAATGTTGGGGTGATGTCTCTAAAGGTTGAAATCCGAGCTCCCTGACAGATCGTCCTTGGCCCAGCTTGCTCTCCAGAATCCAAAATTTGACTATGACAAAGCGCGGCGTCCCCGGAGAGGAAGCACGTGCCATATGTGGATGAGTTGAGAGGAAGCGGGTACCCGTGGGCTTTCCGAAGTAGGTGGAGGATGGATAGTCTGCTAAAGGAAGACTCAATTTGTAACCGTGGCTTGAAACAGACACATGCCGTTCCTAGCCAATATGAGAGTCATAAAAGATACAGTCGCCAAAAGTGCACATGTTTCGAAGCATCAAAGGTGAGTCCGTGTAATTCCAGTTGTCGAGAGCAGACTGTCCTCCAATTGATCCACGTGCTAGGCTACCCCAATTGATGTGATGTGTACCAAGTACAGTGGAAACAGCCCCTTTTCCCACTTTAAACCAAGTACTCGGTACCTACCAATAAGCTCTCCAGGCCCCACTTGTTACTCCAGCAAATGCCCGTTGTTCCCTGAGGCACGAGTCTCCGCTCGACCAATCACCGTCGTCCATTGTAGCTCGTGGGCTCAACCTTTGGAAGCACGCGACACTATCTATAACCTGGAAAGCCCTGGACGACGTTCACGGTTATATAGTCTGCACCCCTTGCTGTACAACTCTACAACTATTCACAACTTCCCCCCTCCTCTGCATTCTTCCACAATGTCACGACTTCCAACCCCAGCCATGTCGGGTGGCTTCATAATCAAAGACAAGCCCGACGGAGATGCCTTTACATTACCTCCTGCTGCATTGAGCACTGCCAGTCGGAGATCCTCTCGATCAGATCCTTCCTATATTCCGGCATCCCCGACCTCCCCAGAGCTCTCTGGCCGCCGTACAAGTCACACCGCACGGTCGGGTACATCTATCAAACGCCCACTTGAGGATTTTGATTTGCCTCCGCCACCAACTAGAACTCGCAAGATCATCCAGATGAAGCCCAAATCGCCTTCCAAAACCCCTAAAACAAGGGAAAATGGCAAGGGTTCACAGAGTTCAGAAGACGCCATGCCCAACCCCACATCAAAATCTAAAAGAAAACAGCCCAGTGCCACTAGTGCTGCAGGACGCAAGATCGCCCGCAAGACCGCACACAGTTTAATTGAGCGTCGAAGACGATCCAAGATGAACGAGGAGTTCGGAACGTTGAAGGATATGATCCCGGCATGCACCGGGCAGGAAATGCATAAGCTGGCTATTCTTCAGGTACATCAGCCACATTTCTTTTGGGATTTGGCAATATACTAACAATCCTGTCAAGGCAAGCATTGACTATGTCAATTACCTAGAGAAATGTATCCGTGATATGAAAACGGGAGGATCAACCCACACCCCTGCTGCACCGCCCTCACCAACATCTCCCGAGTTCGTCGCTGAAACGGGAGAGCCCATGCAAAGGGATAATTCATCTACTTATTCATACTCCACCTCTGCATCACCGGAGTTGTATGCCGCTCCCACAGAATTTCCGGATACATCTCCGTCTTTCTCCCCGCGCACTCAAGTCCCCTCAGGCAATATCCCACATGATGCTTCATCTATTCTTCCTAGCCCGGCACTAGGCCCGATTTGGGCATCCAGCGAAAAGATGCATGAGTTTCAGGGGGTTGATCACGAGGCTTCAGCTGCCCTGCTTATGTTGACTCAGGATCGGAGAGGGACTGCCGATTCGATCAGTGAGAGCTTCCCTGGGAGTACGACACTGGCACAGTCTGTGGAAGAGACTCCAGCGGTGCCTGAGATTCAAAGGAGGAAGGGCATGAGTGTCCGTGATCTTCTTATCTCATAGTCTCACAACTTGGTTTTTGTTTATATTTCTTTTGGGAAATTGGTGTCTGATGTTTCTGGGAATGGTGCAGGGGCTGTCTTATTAGCGTTGTGTATATTTAGCATCTGTCTTCATGATTTTACTCGGTGGATCGGTGTCTACACGTATTGATTGGTGCGTGTGTTTTGTTACTTGACCGACCTATAAAGGCCGGATACTCCAACTTGGAGGACAAGATGTGAACAAAAATTGAATAAAGTTAATCATCACCAAAGGCTGGAGGCAATTTATTCGTATTATAGGTATTTCATTTAGAGGAGATGAATTGTTTAATGAATACAATAACCAGTTGCCAGTTGCGGTTTCGCCCCCACAGCTATCGGGCCATCGGCAATTCACGAATGACCGAGCTCCGAAATTCCATCATCGAGAGCCCCCAGCTCGAAGCTTGATCGCTAATATATTGCAGAAGCCGAGGATCTGATAAGAGAAATTATCCTCAATCCTTATTACCAAGACATCTTTACTTTGCGCTGGCTTCCCCATAGCCGCGCTAAGACAGAACCATGAACCACCCACGCCGATACAACGTAGAGCGATCATGTTTACGCTGCCACGAACACAAAATCAAGTGCGACAAGGGCTCACCATGCAGCAAATGCATGCGACAGAAGGTAACCTGCCAGTATCCAGGTCCAAGCCGAGCCAAGCGCCAAAATCCGAAGAAGAGCACGACCGATATTGCGGTACGGTTGGAGCAGCTCGAACAGCTCATCGCGGGAATGATCAGGGAACGGCCGACTGGCTCGGATAGTGAAAACCAAGACCAGAGTGCAAGCTTATCGATGTCGACTGGCCGATCTGACTACGGGCCCCCATCAACCCACTCAGCTGCAGCAGACCGCCCCACTCAGCAGGGGTTCCTGGACAAAGACGGCCGGTATATCAATGAGCCTCTCCTCTCGCGGGTTTTAGAGAAAGAGCAGGAGCTGAAGTCAGCAATCGGATCGCCGATCGGTGCAACTAGTCCACGCCGACCAGTCTTGAGGGCAGATGGCCTCTTCGCCAACCCGCTCTCGGTTCAGATTGACCCCCAGGAGCTATACCCGAGTCGCTGGGAGGGAGTCTTTCTCTGGCAGACATTCCTCGGCCGTGTAGAGCCCTTGGTAAAGGTCCTTCATGTTCCAACAGCGCAATCGCTCATCTTTTCTGCAATTAGCCGACCCGAGAGTGTGCGTGCTGATGTACGTGCTTTGCTCTTTGCGATATGTTTTGCTGCTACAACAACCTTGCTTTCAGATGATATCCAGAATGAAGTTCGGCATGCCAATCTGCGGCGGTATCAACAGGGGCTGGAGTTGTCTTTGTATCACTCCGACTTTTTGGATGCCCCAACTCTTACCTCGTTGCAAGCGATGGTGATATATCAGGTGAGAAAATGTTTCTTCAAGTGTCCTTAGACTTTCCTGTACTTTGCATCGCTGACATCTCTTTACTCTCTAGACATGCTTTCGATTTAGCAATAGCGGCCGGTCTGGCTGGACCTTACACGGTGTAACTATTCGAGCTGCGCAATCAATCGGTCTCCAGCGGGACGGAAAAAACTTCAAACTCTCTCAATTGGAATGCGAGCTACGCCGCCGAACCTGGGGACATATACAATCGGCCGATATGCGAGTAGCAGAAGACCATGGCCTCAGCGTCCCCGACAACGATTACGGTGACACTGAACTCCCACTGAATATCGACGACCAGAACTTATCACACACGAGCATTATCCCAGCCGTATCGCAGGACCGATGGACCGAGTTGACATTCACTCTAATCGTAGTCGAAATTAACAAGGTGCGGCCGGTTTTACTTCGAAGTTTAGCAGGAGCATCCGATCCAGAGCGACTCATCGCCGAGTTCAAAGGCTCAATAGAGGAGAAATACCTGCGACATAGCGACCCGGACATCCCGATCCAGCGCTTCGGCTTCCTCCTTGGCCGGCTGCTCCTCACAAAGACCGAAGTGTGCATTCGACAAAAACAGCTGCAATCACAGGGCCCGGCGGCCTGCTCACTCGATCACAACCTTGTACAAAAGACGCTAGCACAAGCCTGCTATGGCCTAGAAATCGGCGTCGAGATGCATAGCAACGAAATATTGCGTGGCTTCCGATGGATGATGATGACTCACACTCAATACCACCTCTTCACATTCATTCTCTGGGCTCTGTGTGTCTATCCCACCGGCCCCTATGTTGAACGAGCCTGGAGCGTTATCAATACCCAGTTCGAGCTGATTGATGATTCCTCTTGGCCGGACCCGGGACCTAAGTGGCCGATGATTGTGCAGTTGCGGAATAAGGCGCGGCGTATTCGCCAGGCTCATGATTCTGTCGAGCAGAGTCAGCAAGCTGTTCACGATAATCGTCCTGTTTGTGTTGATGGGATTGGGACTGGGTATTCTCGGCCAGAGGCAGGATTTGATATTGATCGTTGGGATCCGAGCTTTGTCGACTTTTCGGATTGGAATAGCTTGGCCCAGAGTCTTTCTCTCCTAAATTGAAGATGGGGGATAGTATGTGTATAGTGTGACGAAACCACATAGGCGAGCTCGTTCTCTGCATATATTCCTTTTTCGTAATGTTTCTGCTGTTGTACGGGGCCTGTTTCGTTGTGGAGCGGTACCTTCTTAAAGCAAACACTAAATGATTGCCATTTTGGGATCACTTTTACCGCTTCTTCTACCGCTCCTTCGATTAATCATGTCTTGTTCTATAACGATAGAACGCGACGCGATGCATCTCAGACCGCCAACACATACAAACATCCTGAACAGACACTTCACTCTCATTCTTCTTCCTACATAACTTGCAAATCATTCAGCAACCGCCAACATGCCTGCGCCTGATGAGGAACCAGATACCCTGCTACTTTTACTGGAAGCAATGAAAAACCAACCTATCCACCGCTTGGAGGGTATCCTCCAGGACATTGTCAAGCACAGCGCAGAAGGCCGCAAAATCGCCTCAAAATGGCTACTAGCAGCAAAAGACGATGTGAGATCCGAGCCAGTTGTCCCAACTTCCACCATAGCTCCCGTCATCTCTGCCCTATCCGTTGAGGATGAATCCATCTCAATGCCCATGGCCAATGTCCCAATGACATCCCGTTTCGAATACTGCATCTACTGCCTGGAGGATTTCGAAGTCACTGAAAACTCGGAGACGAGCTGTAAATATCATCTTGGTATGTATATCCCCCAATAACATCCGTGGATACATGGCTCAGGTGGAAACATAACTAATCTATGAAAAGAGCCTGACATGGTCGACGAGGAGTATTTCAAGGACGAGATTGCTGCTGGGATTGATGTTGACAACGATGAATATCGCGAGGCTTGGCCGCACAAGTTTTTCTATTCTTGTTGTGGAATGGACTTGACTGAGGGCATGTGTCAGGTTGGTTGGCACAAGGCTGCGGACCCAGATGATCGTCCTCGCAAGCGAACAGGTCGGTGTGAGTTCTGATTGAATTAATGGAATTTGCTTCTGGAGTGTGGATAGGTTTTAGGATTTGTCCCCCGAGGTTTGATGCAATCACTGATGGTGATGCTTCATCTTCCCAGACTCCTTTTTTAATATGTTACGTCTGGCCTCTGTATGTACGGGTTTTCCTCTAAATTAGCCAGCGAGCTAATCTATTTTATCCCATTATGAGAAACATTCACAATGAAATAGACCCGGGCCTGGCCTTATTACTGCAGTGGGCACTCCGGCCGATACTCCCCCGAAGCCTCCTCATCCTCATCCAAACCATCTCGCCTCCGCTGCTCCTGCCGTTGATCCTCATCATTCACCAACTGCCGTAGTCGCCCTGCATCTGGCTCCTCATCTGGCTGAATACGGAGCAGTTCATCGACCATGGCCGCCCGCCGCGGGTGACCCCGATGGCGTAAGTAGCGCTGAAACTCGGTGAGCATGAGTGTGCGTAGGGGGTCGTTGGCGGGGTCCTGTTCTGCGGGTGGAGTCGATGAGGGGATAGAAGCGTTGTTGGTGAGATTTTGTTCTGCGGCTGGTGTAGATGAGGGCACAGAAGGGGTTGGTGGCGCGGCTGTAGATACGTCTGCAGTCGGAGATGTCGTTCCAGATGTAGCTTCGGCTTGGGCTGGTTGTGGTACTGGAGTTCCAGGGTTGAGTTTTACATGGTCTATCACCGCTCGAAGGAGATTCCAGCGCATCAAGTTGTGTTCCTGCCACATTAATCTCTGCAGTGGGATTGTTGGACCGACATATACCATGTTCGGGTGCTCGCTTGCTAATGGCCAGTGGTCTTCAAAGTATGATGTCTGCGCTGATAGTAAGGAATAGAGATCACTCCACACAAGGCTTCCGAGAATTCGCATTTGGCCAGTGTAGCCTGGAGACTCGTCGGATCGTGTGATGCCCTTCTCTGGGTCGAAGTCTGGGTCAACAGCGAGAAGGAAGCCGGTGAAGTCACCAGGAATGAGCTTTGATGTCGCGGGACTGTAGGATTTGGTCATGTATGAGGCAAAAGATGCGGAGTCAACGACGAGGAAAGCGCTATCTTCTACCTCTGACCAGTCGTCGTTGCCATCTTTGATGTTTTGGAAGTGTCTGGTTGACATGTTAGCTTCGAAATGGAAGAAAGAGCACACTCACTCCTTAGATGCATCGATATCGCCCTCAGAAATACCCAGTTCCTTCCCATCCAGCCAGCGAAGCTTCAAATGCTCTTTGATAGCACTGCTTCCTGTGTGGCCTTTGCCCCAATCCGAAACATGGGCTTCCACTTTGCGAACGAACTCTGTCCATTCAGACTCCGTCTGCCCATAAGTCAACCGATACACAGCCAACCCATACTTTTCCTGCTTTCCCTCCTTTTTTCCAGATTCCATCTTGGAGACACAGGCAGCAATCCAAGGCTCGCGAGGAACAGGTTCAAGAGGTGCACCACGCACCTCTTTCCTCAATTTATTCTGGCCTTGAATCTGGCTCTGAGCTGTCCCATGGTATGTCTCTCCGGACGAAGGAATTGAATCTCTCCATGGACCTGCTGAATAACGTGGGATGGCTTCTCGAGTAAGCAGCCTCAAACGCTCATGGTATGCTTTACCTCTCGTTTGCAGATTCGCCGCATGAAGAGCTGCCGGACCATCCCCATCCCGCGGGGGAGCCGCGAAGTACCCCTTGTAACCGTCCATGGGAATCATGATAGTGAAATCAGCAGTGGCAATGATTTCTGTCAGCGTGTGCAGCGAATCAGTAATTTTCCACTGCAAAGCATCAGGTTGGCCTAACGGGCCGCTATCTCCCGGTGGCCGATACTCCAAAAGGGCTCGCAGCAATGGAGCTCGCAGTGTATGGGCATGCACAATAACCCATCTATGGGCGCGTTCGGTCATCATCTCGAAATGCGCTGTCATGTATCTTGTCCAGAGACCCGCGACACTAACGTGCTTTTTACCTTGCTCCGTTCTGAGATTGTTGAGAACAGCATCGAGCGCCGTCCAGTGCTCATAGATGTAATTGAACGTGTCGCGAAGATACAATCGCACGGTTGGTTCATTCAAATACTGGAACACGGCGATCACAGCCGTTAGATGCTGACACGCGAGATCAAAATGTTCTGGCCGGTCGAGGCCTTTTTCCTGCCATATCTGGTCGCTCAAGGGGATGATGCCCTCCCACAGACGGGATTTTAGGGATTGAATGTTCTTTCCGACCATACAGAGCCGGGTGAAATCTCGTTCAGATCCAATGCGGGCCATAACACTGGTCATGATGGGTTCGCCATCGGAGTCCGGGGGAAAGTTTTGATCATGTTGGAGGAAGGACGATTCCTCTTCGGACAGGCGCTCGATGTTGGGTTGACTACCATTGGGTAGTGGCTCACCGAACGCAAATTGCATGAAATGTCCGATGGTTTGAGGCTCAAGAATGCGATCGACTTGATCGGTGTTGTTCGGTTAGTACTAATATACAGAGAATTATGGGGATCGCTAACCAACTGGCAGCTTCTGTGCCTCGCAATGAACGATGGTAATCGCAGTGCCTTCAGCTTCAAGATGCGAGTACATTGCGATGAATGAATAAATTAAGACAATGAAGAGAACCAAGGCGCGATTCCGGACCTTTTGAAAGTGGAGAGGCGAAATGATTTTAAAGCCGCAAGGCAACTAGACGTTCTGGTTGGTGGAGTTTCAACTTAGCGCGCAGGTTATTGGATCTAAAACTCGATGGGGTTTGGCTTTAGTTTATTTCTTTATTCTAGATTGTGCACGGAGTAGTATTCTTCTTCAACTAGCGTTGGCCCCCTGTATGTTGCGTGGTATCTCTTAGTAAAAGGGGAAAATAACCTTGGAACCGGGTGTATACGGAACGGAGTACATTTCACTACACAAAGTTATCATATAGATCGTCTGTAAATCATAATCTTCATTATAAATTAGGTATCAAGTCATTACTTCGTACCAAATTATTCTCTGGCCAATAAGCCAAAATCCAATGCCCAAAAAGCAAAAAAGCAACTAGAAATGCCTCTATACCTGCGCAGGTGTACTCGATCCACTAGCCCTGAGTTTCTCCTCCAAGATCAACCTCTGACAGAACGGACTTCTCTCCCGAATCCAAGAACCCCAGTGCATCAAAGCAAAAGGAATCGGAATGCAAGCCAGACTAATAAATCCAATGAGGGAAGTGGCCCAAGAAACCCCGAAAGATTTGTAGAGCGGCTCAGCGGCCAGCGGGAAAAGCGCTCCAGCAATGCTCCGCACAATAACAGAAGCTGCCAGAGCGCTGGCAGAGTAGATTTTGTATGCGTCGGTCACATAGGTAAGAAGGGAAATGAAGATGGTCTGGAATCCGAATCCAAAGATGAACCCGGACATCACGGGTGCTGCCCAGTGCATGGTAGGCTTTGCTGTCCAGGCGAGCCAGAACATGCTGATTGTTAGACAGGGCCCGGCGATGCAGGACATGGGAAGTCGGTGGTACTCTGGGCTGGAGGTCCAGACTTTGTTGAGCTTTTTGGCTTTTTCGTAGATCATGTCGTAGTAGAGGGCGACAAAGCCGGAAGATGCGGCACCAACGCCAACTGTGATGGGTTAGATATGTTTGGTAATATTGGTGGAAAGAGGTGAACGTACTTGGGATGTATGTGAGGGAAGTTTGCTCAACGGTGAAATTATAGACACCTGCCAATCTATTGTTAGTATTTTACATAGATTCAATGGGAATTCCAGATGGAGCATTACCTCCAAAGATGATGGGATAGGCCTGGAAATAAAAGAACACCAGACTATATGCGAGAGCGATATAAATGGATGTTGAGGTGATGATAGGTTCAAAGAAGAGCATCGTGATCGGGCGAGTGATAATCTCCATCGGGGTGAATCTCGAGTCGAGGTTGAGCTCCTGACGCGAGAAGTATCGATTGGAATTCGAATCCTTTCTCAATTTGGCAGCTTGTAGTTTCAAGAGTGCTGGGCCAAAAGTTTCTGTTTTAATTTGAGATTAGTTGATACCACGAATTGATGGAATAAGTGATAATCCTACCAGATGTGAAGAGCAAAGCCAACCAAGTAATACCCGTCAGAATCAGGTCGATCCTAAACGTCCATCTCCAACCATATTTTACCGAGCATCCGGAGATAATGGGGCCCAGAATAGGACCAAAACTGCAAGCCTGGAATATACATCAGCCCTACTCAAAAATTTCACCTGTGGATGTAATTAATAAGAACATACCGACATATACATCGCCATTGCACGACCACGACTTCGCAGATCAAAAAATAGGTCTGCATAAATACCACCAACAACCGTCTGAGGAGCTGCCCCAGCAAGACCACAAATAGTCCGAAAGACGAGAAGAGAGGACCAATTTGGCGCTAGAGCACATCCAAGCGTAGCGAGGACGAAAACAGTAAAAGACCAGAGAAGGACGGGTTTCCGTCCAATAGTTTCACTCAATGGACTGAATAGTAGGGGTCCAACTACATAGCCAATAAGAAAGACGGCAGTTGGTAAGACCTTTTGCTGGCCTCCGGACTCGTGGAAGTCCTGCATGATAGCGGGGACTGCATTGCTAGGAAGTGCCGATGATATGCCGCTATTGAGGACAATAAATAGCCCCACAACCGCATTGTAGAACTTTTTCTTCTATTTGATTTGAATTTTGTTAGTAAATATCTCTTCGTAACATATAAATGTGCGTACAAAGGCCCAGTTTGGTGGATTTTTGGGTGAGTTCTCTTGAAACTCGACAAGTAGTTCATCTTGAGACAGTTCAACTATATGGTAATCGCCATTTGATTTTTGATTATTCTCCGTTGAAGCAAGGGACCTTTTGTCATATCTCTCATCCTTGTCTAATACATGTTAGAGCAGACCCGGTAAGTATCAATTGGGATTGATCGCACCTGAAGAAAGGATGGCGGCTATCTGAGCCGTTAAAGATTGTTTATTTTCTGACGCCATATTGCACCATCAAGTGTGGGGTGAGCTAGAACAAAAAGGAAGAAGATTGGAAGTATGCTTTTATTCTAATTCTCAAAAGCTCCGGTAGATGAGGATCGGAGCTCTATATAAACTATAGAAGAATATTTCCGTTCCCATTGCAACCAGCGGACCCAGAGTGAAAACCCTGCCAATTCTTTGACTCACTATGCCTAGAACCTGCTGGTCTTGCATAATGCCTCTATCCATCATGTTGGAGTAGGGAACAAGCCAATGGGAGACTGGTATACTTCGATTTTTTTGCACGGGAAACCGGGGCCGGTACGGGGCCGGGTGTTAGGGCAATCCACCTACGGCGCCGGGCAGGATCCGGACATGAATGGCTGCCCCCGATGCACAAATTAATTGCTATAACTGCGTTTTTAGTGGGGATCTAGACTGATGTGACTGAACACATGTGAATAAAGAAGCATACTGCATTGTGCGTTGCGGCCTAATCTGTTGTTCGCTTGTACAAGTATCAGGGTTGATCTACGAGGCTAGAACTTGCTCCTTGGGTGACTTATTCGGTTTTGAGACTTAGATTGAGTGATCTAAAACTTCAATAACTTATATTAGGTATATTATTGTTACTGTGGCATCGATGGCATCATAGGTAAGAAATCGAAGATGTCGTTCTGCCCCTCCTCAAACAGACCAAAGGAGTCTGCAATTGAGTTCGATACAGTCCAGTTGGGCGCTTCCATCGTGCCGGATAGCCGGGACACGGGCGCTCTGGCCACGGCAGATGGGTCACTACTTGGCATCGAGACCATGTTTGAATCTCTATCGGCCTGGATGGTCGGGCCAGTTCTGTAGCGGAGATCGTCGAGGGGACCCACTCCTGATGGAGGCGGGCGGTTGATCATGGGGTTATCATTATCAGGTCCCTCAAATGTTGGGCCCTCATTTTGATCAGACATGATGGGTACATCTGTACTATGATTGCTCTGTGGAAGCTGACTGGCAATCAAGGCGCGTGCATAGTTCACGAAAATAGAGACAGTCCGATGGATATCAGGATATGGGGGTTGTTTGAGGAAACCACAGATCCTTTCGGCTCTTTCAAGTAGAAGACTTTGATTAATTAGATTCGGACGCCACCTGGCAATGCGAAGAGCGAATGTTGCTAAACCTATTAGCAAAATGTATCTCCCCGATTGAGGAAAGATTAACTTACTGACGAATGCGATTGTAAGAGCTGGATAGGTTGGCGCCCAGGGTAATTGACAGCGATATGATGGCTCGTTGATCAAAAACCCTAATTGGTCCATGATTGTTGTCACAAGGGACTGCCACAGGTTCATCACATTCTGGTCGAGCATTTCCGAGCCTGAATCCGTGTGCGTCGGTTGTAATTTTTGAATCCGTGCCAGCGAAGCACAGAACACAAAAATTCTGGCATAGTGAAGCATAAGCTTGAGGCTACTGCGTTGGAAGGCCCCTATATGGAAACCATTGTCTTCAAGTTTGTCGAAGTCAGAATTGATCCAGATTGTGGGTTTATCCAAAGTAAGAAAAGACAACCTACTTTCATGGATCTCGTCCCACGTCGTCCACCAGTTTTGCAACCTTGTCATAATGGCCGGTAGTTCTGTGGACACAATATCGCCAACAGTTGAAGTGTTGTCAATAGTGACCCGGTAATTACCTGCCACATGTTAGTCATTTGGCAGAAAAATAGCTCCTGCAGTTGTTCGCTTTACCTCGTAGTTGATGAAGCTCAATGATACACACTGTACGCATATCACAGGGCAGAGAGAGTGGATAGTCAAGAAATTTGCGTAGCTTCACCACGTCGACCTCGGCAATACGTGATTTGCGCCCTGTACCAGATGCAACGTCCAACTCTAGTATGAAAGTGATTAACCATGTTCTTGTCTTCCATACCAGTTCACGTTCAGCCATAGAAGCCGAAAGCGAACTTCGGGGTACATTTTCTTGGGACAACAAAGTGTCCAACGATTTCTCCAATCCAGAATCTAAGGCGGTGCGAAGAATGAGAGCAATGGAGAACCAAGTCTTTTCGGAGTAGGCTGCCAGGAGAATCATTCCTTGGACTGTTTCTAGTTTGGTTGGTCGCTCGAAGAAGCTATCTTCGGCCAAACGTTGTGCTTCATCCTGTAGAACGCGCTGCATATGCGTGTCGCCACGCAAATCTGTTACTGCGCGACTAGCCAGATAGATAATCACAGTAAAGCAGAACAAAGATCTTGAACGGACAGAGTCAAATGTGTCTCTGATCGGATCAAAGAGAGGAAGGAAGTTTTTCGATCCACCTGTAAACCTGTAGGAGAGGGGTTAGATTTGACCATGCGGTTTCATTTGGCTGTTAGTACCATACCTCTCATACATGACACGAGCAAGCTCCTCACTAACGATTCCTCTAGCGACGACATCTCCTCTGGGATCGCCCTTAGCTGAGTTTTCCATAAATATCTTGTGTTGTTAGATGGATATCAATTGCATAAGTGGTCTGACTGTGACTCACATCATTAGTGCCTAGCAGATTCACAGACATAGAATGTACCGCTGATACAGGCGCTATCATTTCATTAGGGCTGAGCTGCTGAGATTCCGGTCCATTCGCATCAGATGTATAAGAACGCTGGAGGCTGCTTAATCCAGTAGAATCGGGCAAAGAATCAATTGGAGTGTCGAAGCCACCATCTTGCACTGTGGCAGGCGAGAACCCCTGATCTCTTGATGTCGGAGTGTGATATCCAGTCCTAGGATCCAGCGGCGAAGCAGTATTTTGGCTTCTGTCACAGTATATTAGTTCACTGCTTTCATATGCAAGGTCGATATTTCAATTGTCACCTTGCGGGGGTTGTTGTTTTCCGCCGGCGATCACCTCGTCGTCGGCCATCATCGATCGGATCTAAAATGCAGTCCCGGCCCGTAGACCGACAGCGGAAGCAAGGGACTTGACTACGTGCATCACATCGCATCTTTTGTCTTCTGCACCATCGACATGCTTTAAAGAAACGAATAGGGACATTTTCCGCCCGGTAAACGATTTCCGACCCTCTTTCGCTCATGATTGCCGTTTCTTCATGCGATTCTAACAACAGAACGCTAGCCAAGTAAGCTCTCTAGTAACAGAAGCAAAGATCTGCCGATGCGTATCGATCGTAGGTTGTGGCTTACTCCTAGTCTGTCAACTGCCTGATGGGGATATGTTTGCCGGTTAACGGGAAAGCCGGTCACGTGCCCGGTTAGCTCTTCTCTTTTAGGAAGGTCATCAACAACGCCTCGTGTGGCGGATTCAAGAAGAAATTACCCAACCTTATCCCAAAACTACAGCCGATTAATCTGCACGTCATTTTAAACACAAAAGGAAGCTTGCCCGCACCCCAAGAAGAGAACGACAGATCCCTGGCGGATCAAGCCGAGCGAGGGAGGATGGATAGATGGGTCTCCGCCCGACTCAAGATCTTTATTACCTGTCGATCTTGGGGTCAAGTGCTGAAGGTGGAAGAGCGCCTACCCAACATTACCACCGTAAATAACGCTCTAGACTTCTAAGGGTCGAAATCGAGTGATTTATCATTAACTCTTCCACCCGATCTCAGTCGGATCACCAGCAAAGAAAGGTAAACCACAATATATACCTTGTACATTGTGATCCAGTGTTGTAGACATACCCTCCGATCACTCTTGAGAATGGCTTCACTCACTATGTGTCACACAACCACGCGGCTCATTGAATCGGCCCAGCTCACACCCACCGAGCACTCTATCTGGAGAGCTTTTCTGGACGAGGCCGTCGATCCCGAATATGCTGCTTGCTATATCCAGGAATAGATTCATGATCGCCCCGCTTGTTCTCTAGAGCAAGCCCTGTACGAGCTAGAAACTGACTGGAAGCGACTCGTTACCAAGTGTCCGTAGAACCCGAGGGTGTACTGAGGCTTCTGTGTCTCTGCTAACCATAGAACTAGTAACCAGGCGAGACAAAGTCCCATTAAAAGTAGGCGCACTCGTTGAAGTGCGAGATGATTTAAATTGCTTTATGCTGGACCAGAAGCCATCCGAGCCCAACGTATTTGTTCGGTTTGATCATGCCTGGGTGATCCCACCCAGCCTTTTCGATGACAGTGACATGAACCCGCAGGTAGGTGGTTACTGGGAAACTTTGAGCCAAAACTGAAGATAACACATCTAATTAAACCGCCAAACTACCATAGGGTTCTCTTTATCCTCTTCTGCGGGCATTTTTGAGCCCTGCCAGAACATCCGAGCTTCAGACCATTTTACAGACTAATACACTGGAATCTCAACTCAAAAATCTCTTCCTACTCTCCCCTAGTATTCATTCAGCATTTAGACATGGACACATTCGACTCTTTCCACCAACTAATACCCCCGCTCAGTGGAATGATGAGACCGAGGCCAGAATCAAAACAGCCAGCGAAGTTTATGTCAGTACTTTGTGTCCAAACTGTCGCCTGAGCCTTGCGGTTGGCTTTTTCTTAGCGATGGCAGCCGCTGGGACTCAACAATGCAAATGTTCATCATGGGGGCCAAAAACGCCAATCAACCTCTTCCAGATCCATTCTTGTTACGCACACATCACCGCATTGCAGCTTCCTTGCATTTATTCCATGTTGAAGAACAAATCGCCGAAGGTTGGCCCTCGCCCCCGTTTTGTATGGTACAAACAACCCCCTTACACATAGGACCTAAATGCTGATTTCGTTACTTGGGATAGTTCATTTGAACATAATTACCCCGAAGGTACTACGCTCAATCTAGCATCTCGTGCCTCACTTGATACGCGTTCAGTGTTATGGCGCGCTCCTAAAACTAGGGAGCCACCTCTACCCGCGGTCTTTCACAGGCCTCGTGCACCAGTTGCCGTTTGGACTGTACGCAAAGGAATGCACTCGCTCTCCTAATGAAGGAGAGACACTCAAGCATGTGGAACGGTATACCTCGATCCCCGCACCCCTTTGGATAGATGAGTACCAGGGCACGCACCGCATTCTCATCCTGACAGCCATGCCTGGACAAACACTGGATGTCGTTTTCCATCGACTCTCATACTTGGAGCGTGAGCAACTGTCGAAAGACCTGAAGAGTGCCTTATCCCAACTACGTTCTATTCCAAATCATACCTCGTACCGCTTTGGCGACAGTCATGGCGGCCCGCTGTTCGATTACCGTTTCCCCTCTGGAATCTGTGGTTCATTTCACCAGATATCTGAATTCAATTCCTTCCTCGTCCACAAACACGTACGCAATGAGACAAGGGAAAACGTTGCGGCCGCCCACACGCGTCTGTATCGATCTGTGTTCACCCATGCAGACCTGAATTAGAAATATTATGATTGAACACGGGCGCTTGTCTGGCATTGTGGACTGGGAATGCGCTGGCTTCTATCCTGAATATTGGGAGTTTACTAAGCTTTTTTATGGGGCACAGCCGCCCCCAGATATGCAATCTGTCATTCATGATGCCTTCACAGGAGATACATATGAGGAGGAGCTCGAAACGGAGAGGCTATTGTGGTACGACACGCCGTTTGGGATATAACGCATCATTGGAGTGTGCATATATCAGAATCTACATTTACTGCTGTCTCAAAACTGTAGTATCAAATTTGCAATATCAATCTTCATTATACATCCAATACAATTTAGACCAATGAGAGAACATATCGAAGCGAAATTCTCCCTGTATCTACTGCCGTACACCTTTTGATAATCCAGACTCAACAGCCTTGATCTGAAGTGCCAAAAACTTAGAGTAGATCCGGCACAAGGCGAGGTTTCCGCCGAAGTACCAGAAGCCCGGATGACCACTGGGGCGCCACATCTGAACTCTGTAATTAGCAGGTATTTCAAAGAGATCGCAAATGGCAGCTTACAGCTTGAACCTCTCCCTCTCCATCTAGATCCCAAACATCGGAACACCGATCCGCGACCTTGTCACCCAAGACTTTCCTCACTGTCGTGCGCATATTATCATATCCGGTGGCAAGGACAACAATATCCGCCGGTAGGGAGTCCCCGTTTGCCAAAAGCAGCTCGCGTTTCCCAAAGCCATTGATACCGCCCGGGTTGTGATTGACTTTGATCTTGCCATCGATGATAAGTTGGCTGCATCCGACGTCAATATAATACCCCCCGCCCCGGGTAAAGTATGCGCGTGCAATACCAGCGCCATCTAGCCCGAAATCAAGTTCGAAGCCAGCCCGACGGAGTCCATCTAGGGTCTCCTTTTCAGCATCGGCGATTTTCTTCGTCATATGTACACTCAAAGCAAACTGAACAGGCCAGGGGAGACTCTCGCAGGCGATATCGCATTCTTCAGTTGGTGGACTATGCGGTTGGTATTAGTATGATGTGAATCTGTGGGATCGGAGCACAAGAAAACGTACCCGCCATCCTCGTGCATTCCACTATGCATCATAAAGACACCCTTGTCGGCAGTTATAACATATGTCCCGCTGCGCTGCAGTAAAGTGACATCTGCACCGTTTTCATAATAGTTCTGCGCGATATCATGGCCGCTGTTACCAGTTCCGACCACGATAACCTTCTTACCACGAACATCGCTTTCCGACGCATCACGGTGCTGGCTGCCATGGTACACATTGCCCTGGAAAGATTCTTGTCCTGAGAAGGAGGGAACTTTTGCCTCGCCTGAGTGTCCTGTACACCATACAAGATGACGAGGCCGGAGGGTGCGTTGGGACCCATCGCCGCGACCGAGGACAACCGTCCACTGGCCTCCAGCTTCGTCGTACTCTGCTGAGACAATCGAGGTTTGCATCCAGATATTCAACTCCATAATACTGGCGTATGCTTCAAACCAGTCACCCAGTTTGTCTTTCGGCGTAAACTGTGGCCAGTTTTGCGGGAAGGGAAGATAGGCCATGTGTGTGAATTCGGCTGGATCGTGCGTGACAAGTGTCTGCATCGCGAAAAGTCAGTATTTCTCTCCATTTTATAGATCAAGTTCCTCCAATATTATTTACCCGATACCGGTTACGCCAATTATCCCCAACACGCTCGCTCTTGTCGACAATCAAGCACGACACGCCGAGACTCTGCAAACGCGCACCCATATTCAACCCAGCTTGGCCTGTTGACAAGTTAGCACTTCAATCATAGACAACCATCTTGACAAAGGAATCTCTTACCAGCCCCAACAACCAAAGTTGTGGGCTCCTCATCCAAAAACTCCTTCTGTCGATTCCTGCGCTCGATCCATGTGCCCCCGGGCAGACCACCAGGCATTGACTCCGTCGTCCCCTCTGCTCGACGCTTCCCAAGTGGCTCCTGAGCTGAGCCGAGCTCCTGTAATGATGTATACATAGCATAGGCCCTCCAAACTCCATCCTCCGCCGGGGTCAGGCGCAACATGCCTGTTCCAGTGCCGACAGCAGTCTCGAAGAAGAACATAGAAGACACCCAGCTCAACCCGTCTACGACCTGCTCCAGACGTGGCTGGAACTTGCCCGTATCCTGCAGTTGGAACTTGGATAGCTGTGCCCCATTCTGTTGTTTGTTTAGGAAGCTTTGAATCTCAGCGGCTGAGTGTACGGTGCGCATGTCCCAGTCCAGCGCGAGCATGTCGCGCCACCAGGACTCAGCATGGAATAGCTCCTTGATGTTCAAGTTCTCTGAACAGGAGAGTTGGACCTCGAGAGCCGAGAGCCATTGCTGAGCGATGCTTTTCGGGTCGGAGGGTATGTCGCAGGGCGTCTTGGGCAGTTGGATGATGTGCGGGTTTCCACCTGTTAATGTTGTTGCCATCTTGAGGGAGGGTGGCTCAATAAATTTGATTGGCTGCCAATAGCGTTATGGCGGTATAGGTTAGGTATTGAGACGGAAGGATATTTTCCTACTTCAATTATCACCCCTTCTTAGGATCCTTTTTGACAGTTCTTATACCCTCTGTCTTCCCCTTTATTGCCATTTTGCCGGATAAGCCTGCCACAGGCAACTAAGCCGAGTTTCACGGCGTGCTTCCGAGCGAGGGGCAGTTGGGAAATGTGGAGTACAATGCAATGTTCAGATGGAGTCACCTACCGTCAGTCACCCCGGCTTCCTCCCCGAGATTCTGGGGAGATCGGAAGAATAAACCCCGAGCGGACAATCTGAGGCAGGTTAGCCGAGCAGATCGACCATAATAGGAATATCTGGCGATCGGTTCTGGAAACTTGCCAAATCTGGTATCTACAGGCATACCTGTTCTATGAATTGACTTGGTTATGACCTTATGGTCTACTGAGTAAATGCTTAGAGTAGTGGCCAGCGTATCTCACTACTATGCAGAGATCTAAAATAGCTATCTTTAAACAGCTTAGGGTATAGATAATTTATTCAAAGTCATGTGGATTGAAATTAGCGTTGTTATATATAAATTGAGGTAAAATGAACGCGAGCTGGGAGCTTGAGATATTCGCTCATGACTGGCACCCTGACCCACCGGAGGAGCGGTGGGTTTGCTCACCAGTCGATGGCGCTTCGTAGCTCGATCCCTTTGCAGGTCCACCACTTTCCTCATCGCTACCTGGTTCCCTCTTGTATCTCCATAGTTTGAAAATGTTCTTGAAAAGGTTTGCCTTGAACGCAAGAGGCAAAAACACGAGGGCGAAAGCGAATGCAACCCCGAATGTCGGAATATAATGAGAAATGGAAACTGACATGTCTCAGATTATGCTTGGGGCGAGGACTTACAAATAATCGGAAATATCCACCGGCCTTGGAAAACCACGCCTCCATTTACGTGAGGGAACTCAGCGATGTCCAATGCAAAAAGGCTTGCAAGGAATGAAGCAGGCAACTGGTGACAATGATCATGAGTATCTTTATACGTAGACGTAAGTGCAATATGAAAAGGGTGACTTTAAATTGATGTTTCACTTACAAAAACCACGGTGACCACAGTAAATACCATGACACTATCGCTCTGTCTTCGAGTAGCCTGTGCTTCCATGATGGTTGCTTGTTTTTGTTTTAAATCCAGTAGTCTGTTGATGGCATCTTGGAGACTCTGGGCATCTCGAATCATCTCAACGATCACGGCATCTCTTTCATCAACGCTGAAGTAGTCACCCTCAACTTGCGTCTTTTGTCTGGGTCCTTTCCAAAGACTGCATACATGTTGTTGGTCACGGACTAAAGTCTGCAGTATGTTCAGCTCATCCAGTATATCATTCACCAATACCAAGAGACTCGTCTCCTGAACTATGTTTTCATATGGATTTTCCTCATGATTTTTCGCCCCGTCTTTCAAAAATTTTAGTCCCATTTTGAAGCGAGCCCAGGGGGGAAGGTTTGATTTGATAGGTTGGATTGGGGAGGAGATGGATTCTTCGAGGTTTCCGAGTGCTCTCCACGCTTCGCTGGGAGGGATCCAATTGATTTTCGAAATTCCTTCAGGAGTTTTGTTTCCTCGTTGCGCTGTGTCTAATTAGCACGCAAGCTATTCCACTATTCAAGCTCCAGTCTTATACGTACTATCTCCTGAATAGATTCGCGAAATATATCCAATGGTGACTTTTTGCCAGATCTCAAAAACTCAATCTCTTTGGCATCGAAGAGGTTCGTAGCGGTGTCCCTGATCACCTCTGCAACACGCATGGCTTTAGGCACCGAGTTGCCATTTTCCTTGCGTAACTCTATGATTACTATCTGCACAAAGGTTGTAGTTTCTTCACTCTCTGACACAGCTGTTGTGCTGGTTATTATGGTTTCTTAAAGACCTAATTGTTAGATATACTGTGGCAATGATAAGAATAGGCCAACACCGTACTCGACTCGAACCTTTTGTTAACATACCATCGTCAATTATCCACAGCCATAGTTGATTGATTAACCAAGAGAATCGGGCGGGCTGGGGGTGATTTATTTTCGTCCTTAGGCTCAGGTTCTTGCTTCAGCTCAAGCTGCTTGGCGAAATATCGACCGACGACTTGATCGTCGTCTCTTTCGTCTATGTTACCCAGGGCAGCATAATAGTATTCATCAAGAGTGAGAGAACCATGCAGATAGTTCTTATTATCTGATGTTAGCATGTCACTAACTGTTTAGAGTGCTAGAACCACGTACCTTGAAACCAATGCTCTGCTTTATCTTCTCTTCTTCGGAAGAATTCTGGTTGAGAATGAACTGAGATGAGCTCTTTTCTTGCTCTCGATCAGGTTTTACGCCCCAGTGAAGGTATGGCATCTGTGATGAAAGATCAGCTGTGAAGACCAACGTAGAGTGCAACTCCATCAAAGTTTTTCTTTTCGCCAAGAACATTCAAATCGCCTTTTGATCTCTCATTCTTCTCTGTAGTTGAGTTTCTTGCACTCTGCAAAGATTAGATATGATAGTCATTATAGTTCCTTCTTCCCATTTAACTCACTTGAAAATGGGGCATCATGTAGTGGTTGCCATCTCCGGCGGCAAGTTCGAGCATACTACCTTGGCAAAATTCGATCAGACTTCGATAGAAGTTATTATCTCTTCCCCTTTCTCTTGATACTTGGACCATTAGTTCCTGCCTGGTGTTAGCTTAGATAGTCTTCATAGGGGTTGGGCCGGGGTGATAACCTGAACGTAGCGGAGCTAGTATATGAGTTAGTGAAATGTTACGATATTACGATGTAAATACTTGGAGCGTAGCGGGCACAGGTAGCTCACATCGTTGACAGGGATATGAAGCCATCGGACCTTCTCTTGAGAGGATTGAATCCCAGCCCGCTCTCTTCCCTTTGGCTTGGCATCCTTCTTTATTTCACTGTCACCTTGCGCTTGGTTAGTCTCTATTTCAAGCTGAGCCGAACGAAGTTTTTCGATGATTGCCTTGCAGGTATATGTATCATCGTTTTTCATCGGCGTTTCTGGTCCATCATAGACGAATTCGAAAATCTCCGACCGCTTCAGGTTCAAGTTGTGATAAATCTGTCTCTCAGTACGAGAGATTTCTATCACCGTTCCCATTCGAGTTTCATAATATGGAATCGAATATAGAAACTCCGGGGCCTTCGTGTCTCCCTTTCGGGTGCGAATTGGAGGCGGATTCTGCAACAGGGCTTCAATGATTAGCCGCCCATTGTGCTTTTTATTTCCTGATACAGAAGGCTTGATGGCATTTTCGCAGCTCTTAATATGATCCTCGCCAAAATAATCACCACTGGACAGAAGCCAGCAAAATGCCAGTGAGAATTCATATCTGGTGGTCCACTCCAAGATATTTGAAGTTGAAGCTTCCAGTTTATCACCTTTCTTGTCAGTGTGCCCAGCTATCATTAGACTTGTGATAATGCTGAAATGTCTCTTCTCCATGATGGCATGCATCGAAACCATAGACTTGATGATAAACTCCACATCCAGGCTGTATGGGGGGCCTAAGAAAATCTGAGATTTGGCTTGGATTATTGCAATCACTGTCTCCCACAGCTCAGATACCAGGCCTTTCTCATGTGCTGATTTCTCTTCCTCCGAACTTTTCCTGTAGCTCTCACTCTGCTCACTAGATTCAGGATTTTTGAATGCATGCCGTTTATCTCGATGCTTTGTGTCCCTTGATGCAATATTGTCCTCCTCTTGTTTGGCAACAATTAGTGAGATCAGGTTGTCATCATCTTTTGTTTCGTGAATTATGGCGTGCAGCACGTTAACCATGTTATCAGCTGCTAGGTCTTTCAAAGGTTTCCCCTGGTCTAAACCAGATAGATTCCACAGAAGCTTGCGCAAAACTGAGTCGTGGCCCATTCTGGCAGCAATGTGTAACGGAGTGATGTCTCTCTCTGTCTTTGCTTGAATCAAAGTCTCCCAATCTCTGATACCACTAACAATATCCGGGCAATTGCCGAGTGCAGCAACATGCAACCAAGTGACACTTTTTCGCCGTTCATCATTTTCTAATGTTGGATAGCCTCCTTCTGTCATGGCGAGCTTCATCAATTCCTCATCATTGTTTAGTATGGCCCAGTATATGATTGATTTGATGCGTTCGTTCTCTTCCTTTTGGTTCGGATTGTAGTTCTGGTCGGGCTGCTTTTGCTGATCGGGTTGACTTCTCGGTGGTTTCGGATAACCTCTCGACTGCTCATTTTCTGGCCGTCTCTCTCTTTCCTCTCTCTCTTTCCGTTGCATCCTTTCAGCTCGTCTCTTTTGAATCCAATTTTTCAGCCAAGTTCCAACACGCTCTCTTTCACCCTCTGGTAAATTATGCACACGGTCCTGTGCTGGGTTGAGAGGAAAGTAGACCTTCGACCCTAGTAGTTGAAAGATTTTGGAATCCTCAACTGCAGATTCTGCCATACCCAACGCATCACACAAGGGAGTATTGCCATCCATGTCTTTTGTAGACAGCGCTTTTCGCAAACGCTCTGGACTATCCGCGAGCAGAATTCTTAAAATTTCACTGCGACCTTTCGTCCGACAAGCTTGATGTAATGCATTCATTCCCAACGTGCCCGTTGCGGCTTGATCTGCGCCATGATTGAGCAGACATTTCACCATAGCCACGGAGTCCGTCCAAACGGCATTTAAGATGGGAGTATAACCCGCGTCATCTTTCACCCCTAATTTTGCACCATTTTGGCACAGATATTCAACGATTTTGGCATGGCCCTTATCGCTTGCAATCAACAGTGGGGTTCTTCCAGAGCTGTCTTGAATCTCTCGAAGATCAGATACCTCCCAGAGACCTTGGATCAGGCGAATGTAACCATTCTCTGCAGAACTTAGCATCGCCTTCTCCAAATTCATCCCTTTCGAAGTGAAAGTCTCATTCTTGCCGAGCAGATATTCCACAACTTCAAACATTTCTTCTTGAGCTGCAAGCATCATTGGAGTTTGGCCCAACATGTTTTTCACATGCTGAAGTTGCTCGTTGCCAGTGCTTCCAAGATGATTCTTAATCAGATCAAAATTACCCAGTGAGGTAGCAAAATCGGTTGTTCCATTGCCCTTTTGATGTGTGGATGGATCATTGCCTTGCACCTTCAGAGGACAGGGATTTTCGGCGGGTGCGGGCAGGAGCTTCTTGACGATGTCAAGATTTCCAGTTTGTGCAGCCCGGTGCAACACTGTATCTCCATTCTTGATCCGAACGTTAAGGTTTGCGCCAGATTTAAGTAGAAAGTCAAAAACAGATGTCTGTTCACTCGATGCTGCCAACACAATTGGAGTGTCTTGGTTTTTGTTTTGCCGGTTCAAGATAGTAGAATATTTAGACTTATTGTCTGCATTCAGCTGATCAGGGCTTTCGGAACTCCTCTCCTCATTTTTTGGAAGCCTCTGGGCAAGTTCAAGGTCGTTTGTCATTGCAGCATAATGCAGAGGAGTATTTCCATCGTTGTCTTGGACGTCGTACTTTGCCCCTTCGTCAAGTAAGAATTTAGTGATTTCAGATTGATTGCACTGGGCTGCTGCCAGGAGAGGAGTTTGACCAGATTTGTTTCTTAGCTCTAGGATATCGATCTCGGCAGGTCGCGCATTCCAAAGCATTTGGACAACCTCGAAATGACCTTCTATTGCTGCAACATGAAGGGCCGTATCTCCTGATTCATCCTCCATCGCCGTGATATCTGCCTCCTTCCCGAGTAGGTAGGCGACAAGCTTCAATTCACCAAGGAAAGCAAATCGGATCAATGCCGTATCGCCAAAATCACTCCGGAGCTCCAATAGGCTTTTCGTTCCTCGGTCTAAAAGTATATCCGCAAGCTCTAGGTGTTCGTGCAAAACTGCAAGCCAGAATGTATTTGTTCCATTGCTTTTTGTTTTGGCAAATACATCAGCACCCTCTTCAAGAAGGAGTTTAGAGATTTCAAAGCGATCTAATCTCGCTGCAAAGGCCAATGGTGTCATCCCTCGACTAGTCCAACTCTCCTCGGGACCATCTTCATTGAAAGTATAATCAAACTCTTTCTCGATGAGGTCGTGATCTTCTTGAAGTAGCTTCTTAACAATCTCAAGCTTGTCATCATGAATTGCCGATGTGATATCATCTCCACTCCTCTCCTTGTCCTCGTCAGATGTACTCGCAGGGAGAGCAGGAAATGGTTCCTCGAGATTACTTTGGCCGGAATCAGGAGGCAATCCTTCAAACTCATCATTGTCGTAATCAGTAGACAGTCGGCCGCCATCTATGAGTGTTAGCAAAAGAGAATAGGGCTTTAAACGAATGCAGAATTGTGTACCTTCAGTAGAGTTGCACATCACGCAGGACTATAGGGAGATAGCCAAATTCAATAAATCCATTGAAATGTGGAAGCAGAAAAAAAGGAAATGGGATAAAATAGAGAATTGAGTTTGGGTTTTGTCCCAAATTTAAATAATTTGCAAGCTCTGTTGAACCTGGGACACGTTTGACTGGATGTTCCCAGGGACCCTCCTCACTGGTTATAACCCTGGAGTAGCCAATTACCTCCTGGGAGCGAGTTTGTTCATGTTATCTCCCTACTGTGGATACAGTCTTCTTCGCTGTGCTTACAAATGAATGATCAAGCGCGGGGCCATACAGAGCTATCTTATATACAACGTAGAGACAACGATCAACTGGCGGCTGCTGTGAGCTAATTTCTTGGCCCTGCCCAAGACCTGCCCCGAATGTGGAAATGAAAAGTCCCGAAATCAACACAAAAATGAATACAATTGCGGGCCTGAAGCAAATATTTGTTAAACGATCTCATATGCCCTGTCCAGAAGTGGAGTTTTTGTACTTATTTTTAGCTACATAATACACCATGTCACACTCCCTAGTATTCAAAGCTGACTGCATATACCAACAACATCTAGCCTATCAAACCCCACCCTCTTTCCCTCTAACGAAAAAATATAATTTTGAGACACAGGGGGAAGCTGGTACTACTTGGCCCATGCCGTCAATACTGACACTAAGTAGTCTGGCTGTGATGCACTTGCAAATAGCAAGTGACAAGTGCGCCAAATCAGGGAATAGATAAGGCCCGTATTTCGGAGCCCGAGTACTGATTAGACTCTCTGAGTCATATGATTGGTCACAAAGAAAAGATCAACACGTGTCTAGGCGCCCGGGTTATGTGACATGTCATATATCGTAGCTAGCTTAGTACAACGGCCCTACACCCCCATACGCACCTCACGGCACCCACGTTCCCCTTTGTTGTGATGAATTGAATTAGTGTAATGCATGGACATGATTCCAGACTTGTCAAATTTGATTGATGTGGCCCGAATTATAAAGTTTTGCGTGCTTTAGTTGCCTCGCTTGTGATCAAATCTCAATGATCACGAAAAAGTACTGATCAGCCAGATGGTGCCTGATTAGGATTAGATCAGGCTTGGCTTAACTGAGGTTCCCACTAAAGAGTGAGAGAGAAATTATTTTTGTTCTTGAAATCGGCCAGTACTGTGCGGAGAGGTTTCTGAAATTTGGATTCTCCGGGATCGGTCCGGAACTCTAAGTGGGTTCCAGTAAGCGGGTCTCGTATGTGAGTTTACCTAGTGGGTCTTTTCGGCAGTACATAACCGCCACATTACCACATCTTATTCTGCTATAATGAGATTTGATGAAATATAGATTGAATTATATACTTTTGTATGAGGGCCAGCAATCGGCAAGTCTAACTGCCGAAGTACTGAGAGACTCTTTTGCGCTCTATAGAAAACGCTAATTTTCGCACACTGATTATATTGGAGAATATACTTTAGAAATAATAAACTAAACAGCATGTAGTACCTTGGTATGGATCTTTTAGAAAGGGATATTTTGTAGTATGAAGAATGAATTGTAAAACTGTCCAAATTCCTTCATGTCCAGGGATGAAGCCAGATTCATGGCTCACTTTCCACCCCTGTACTCCGTATAGTTATCCCCAACTAAGTAATATGCATTTATAATGAGAAATAAAAGATGAAACCAAGAAGAAGAAACACGAACAGCGGTGTCAGTACTGAGTACTAAATTCTCCCAGGTTTCATTGACTGAATGTAGTCTGATTTGAAATGCTATCCTGCAATACAGGATGCTCGAGTTTGTATAGAGGAATGTGTGATAGAGGCGTCAAACTGCATCGACGCCGCTAATCCCGATTCCGTAAGAGTTCTGCAAGACTTGACGTATGTACAAAATCACGTAGGGTTTAGCGTTGAAAGGACCCAGGTGCGTGTTGATTATGAAGAATTAACTTAAGTTTTCAACAGATTATTATAGGGCCTATTATATAAACTATAGCGAGCAAGGATTATACAAAAGCCTAGTAGCCATTCCTATATTCTAGATTTTGACACACTCTTTTATTCCAATTGTATATCTACGTTATTGAATTATCCATTCTTTTATACAGTATTCATTCGCCTTGTGATACTTTCAATAGAGGGGTATATATCGGCGGTTAATACTACTAGCATTAATATCTAACATTAGTAACTTCAGGAGGTACTTTAATTTAGGGGTTGAATTAGTATTTAATTTGTCTATGGATTTAGCGATAGTAAGGTTAAATAGTAATCTATGTATAAAAGGATCCTTAATAGAAACCAAGGTATGTAGTATGGTATAGTATGCATAATAGATATTCATACTAACTAACTAAAATAACACAATCCGCTATCTCTAGCAATCTACATATATCCATGGATACCTATAGATATCGACTAATTTTAATATGCATTTCTGCATAGGACTCGCAGCTGTAGCGATTTATGTATTTTCCCAGGGTTTGGATACTCGGTTCTCAGCCATGTATTATAACATAGCTTTCGACATCTAGCTAGTAATACTATAGGGTAACTGATCGTGTGACATAGAGTAAATCAAACAACAAGGAAACCTCGAGCATCTCGCAAGGCACGACAGGGAAGTCTCGCAGAACTTTCTCCATGTTCAGTGCTTGATAAGAGACGGGCGCGGTTGCTCTGTTTGGTCAGTCGTGAACACCAGGCATGGAAAGGCAAGACTGACCTGCAAGAGCTCTATAGGAGACAAGTAAGGCTCTCAGCCCCGCATGCTTCGGGTGGGTCAACGCCTGCATTAGCGAAACTAGTGGGCCCGAAGGATCCAAGTGTTTTGCGGCGTTTCTTGACCTTGATCTTATTTCCCACTTTCCAACTTCAGACTCGGTCGGGCAGGATCCACACTGATACCATCCATGTTCTTTGAAATTCCATACTCTTTGAACAATATCCCACAATCTACAAATCTTGGAACTGAGAAGACAAGGGAAAGCTTGGACATAGGTAGGCAATACGGATTTTCTTTTGATTAGATTAGTAACTTGAACTGAACTAATACCCTAGTGCTTAATTTAGTACATCAATTGTGTCACATTATCGTGTTTTGCAATATGAAGACCGAAGACAATGGCAGATTTGTCTCTTCAACTCATACTCCTAGGCCCCAGAGCCCTTCATGGCGAGGTTCTGCCGAGGCAATGATGATCAGCGGCGTGACTTTTATTATCACTCTCTATATTGGAAGTGCTATCTTCGAGTCTGACAGCTTTTTGGTTCGGTGGGGGATCTATGCATCATTGTACATATTGTCCAATGTGCTGTACCAGAAGGTCCTCCAAAGTATTTGAGAATATTTAATATTTTTGCGAATCAGACTATCGCATCAGAAATGCCTGCATATATAACACCTAGGTAGCTTAAATCAATTCCAAGGTTTGCATCCAGGTACATCAGACCGTATTGAAAAGGACGTACCAGCCGGAGATCGTGTGCTTGCCTACAAACATGTCTTCAAGACCTAAGCCAACGGAACGCGCAAAGCACAATTGGCCATCCAAGAATATCGACAGAAATATGGCATCTACCATCACGAAATGTTTGCTGCTGCGTCAGGAATGGACTTGGTCCGCTGCATCTTTGCCAGCGCCGTATTGCGCGGATAAAAACTCCACATCCATGAATCGTAAGCTCAGAGAATACAATTTAGAAGGCAGAGCGACAAATATCCTCAGAATGGGCAAATAGCCAAGTTTCGAAGACGATATGGGAAGCAAATATCTCAGGAAGAGCAACTCTGCCTTAAGGCCTGCTAATCTTTCTAAACTGGTATTTTTCTTGTTTCAAAACAACCGAGTAGTACTACGTATATTTTTACTAGTAACAGGATATCTCTCTCTCTTCACCATCTTAATCTACCAATGGATATACCCCCCTAAGCGTCAATGGCATCTTATATAGACCTTGCCAACTCCCATCATATGGTCCCATAAGACCACTCCCATGGGACTGGACATTTATTCTGCAGGTGACCGACCTGAGCATAATTACTGATATAAGCCCGTGCTGATGTCTAAATGTATTCAGCGAGCCTGAGTCTGAGCACATAAAAGCGGCGGCAGCTCAAATAGGAAAGCCCTACCCGCCAGTGAAAATCCGGTACATATACGGAACAAGTACATATGTCCCACTCTTAGCCGAAATGGGCAAATCTTGCGTAGTTTCAAACTTGATTTATATTTACTCCGAGGTTACTCGTAATAAAAGGCCAAGAAAATGATAGTCTTGATCAAATCCCCCGAGGGGCTAGCTCAATAGCTTTGACAGGAAACGACCTAATCCTCATCTCATTACTTTTCACTCAGAGCCTTTTCCACCAGTCCTCAAACCTGAAAATGGAGGGTCCGAATTTGGGCTCTTTAAAGTACACTTGCAACAGTGTCAGCTGTTTAGGAAATTACAGTACCATTTATGCGGGCTTGATTATCGATGCGGTGCTCGATTCAGCTATTTTGAGGGCGAAACTCACCAAGTTGGTTGGATTATGGCCAATCCTCGGCGGTGATTTGATCCAAGATGTGAGTTCATTTTACTGCTACTATAGCCTGCTTATATCCTTGTCTAGACAAAACCATGGTCCTTCACCTGTGGTTCTACTGTCGATTACGCCACCAGGGATATTGACCATTCGCTGGCCACCTATCTTCCAATCCAGCACAAACAACATAGCAACGAACCAACCATGATGAGAAGCCCGGAAATATCGGCAGTGGATGAGAAATTCATATTCGACGTCCCTCCCAACCTTGCAAATAATTTCCGCCTTCGTGTTACTCTGCTGCGAGATGCTACTTTGCTCTGTTTTGGAATTGCGCATCATATTTGTGATGGTAATGATTGCTGTGAGGTGGTCAAAGCATTTTGCGATCTATTGTCTGACAAGCCAATTCCTTTATTTGCTCTTCCGCCTGATGCTGGGGATGTCCGAATGTCTGATCTGATGAAAGTCAAAAATGAGTGCACCGAAACGGAATCCAGTTTACACTACCAGACCCATGCGGAGAATTACGCCATTGGGATATTCAAGCTCGCAATGACTGTGTGGCGCGTGTTGCTAACGATTCTTGCTGTGAAGCTTGGATTCCTCGAGGATCTCACAACCAAGTTTATATCTATTCCAGGAACATGGGTCGAAGAATTACGGATCAAATCACAGATGGAGCTGAAATATTGTTCCCCCGAGGTTCAACTCACACGAAACGATGTTATCGCTGCATGGTACTTGAAATCCGTTTATTCCCCTCAGCCTACGGCTACATCCCCTAATCTAGTGGACTACCTTGGGATTATCAACTTCCGTCGCTTCCTTGAGCCTCCAAGAGCTGGAACATACTACATCCGGTGTAGTGTTGGTGCCCTCCGGTGTAAATTCACTGTTCAGCAGCTGAAAGAACAGTCAGTTGCTGAGATTGCACGGGATATACGCCTCACAACACTGCAATATACATCCACCGGATCTGTCCATCAGAGCCTTCGATTCTCAGAAGATCATACAGCTAAGACTCTCACTTTACCGCTGCGTGGCACTGGAAACATAGGATTTGCTGTGGTGTCCCATTGGACAACATTCGATTTTGCAAGCCTTGATTTCTCCGCCGCCAGTCGTAGTGGCCAAAAAGCGCCAGTCATATTCGTCAATCCTATGATTGTAAACACATGGAACCTCACGATAGCACCTGTGGCTGTTGTCACTAAGAATGGGTCTGGAGGCTACTGGATTCGCGCTACCAATACACCAACTGGCTGGGAACAGTCCAGCCAGTCTAACAGCATGGAAAGTCTGTTCCCTGCGCAATAATCGGAATTTCGCCTTCTTGGTTCATGTTTGCAAGTCATAGTTTAGCTCGCATGTTTTTTCAAGGCTCAAAATGTTTCAAATGGCAAAGTTGGAAGTAGTCGTTTGGCTGATTGGAACCCGAGGCAACTATAAAACACCTCTGTACACATATTCCACATCAGGAGGTTGCACCTAAACACTTGGGGGTCCATTGGTTAACAATTAGGGAAGTGTCCTTAGTTTTCGCTTATATAAACCCACTTTGGTTTGGACTACTTTGTCGGCGTGTGGTTATCCCAGACACGCTGAGTATTTTTAGGCCCATGCTGCACAGCGGGGTGTCCAGTTCTTTTAGATCAGCGGGACGAACATTTACTTTCATAGACATAGCTTGCACCATTCGGATCATCACAGTCACCGCTGACCTTGCTGAATGATTTCATATCTTCCAATCATTTCCCAGCCACACCGCATTATCTAAGTCAAAGGTAGGTAGATCGATATCAAAGCCCAAATGTTTAAAACTATCCTAGAAAACCTGATTTTCAACCCTAGGCGGAGAGCATTGCCCGAGGATCTCTTGCCCATTGATATCTATGACCTTTTACCACATAGAACAAAAACTTGCCACACATCGTGTGACCGCTCTGGAGGGCTCATGTGCTCCGAAGGCAATCATAGCGGTGCCCCAAGTATCTGGAACTGTAGAGGCAAAAATATCCGGGCGTAGCATTGAAGCGATCAAAATTGCGACATAGAAGTAGAAAATGCGAATCCACCAAGGTAGGAAGCCAATGCCATTTTGGTCGAACATAGCGCTGTCGCGTACAATATTAATCATGTCTTGAGAACTTTCTACGCACAGATTCAATGACCACCTGGTTTCCGCCCCAGGCCTATGAATGCCTGTGCTTTGAAGACTACGGTGGGAATACGGAGATCAGAACCCTACAGCTGCTATCCTGCCCTCAAAATGTTGCTGAATGGCCTAAGAATACTAATCAAGCCTTTTCTGCAAGGCGCAGCTATACGGGACTGTGGGGCGTAAAGGCCAATCCCGAGCCTTCAATAATACCCTCATGGGCCGTGAATGGTGAAACACGGAGCATTCAGGGGTCAATGCCGCAAGGATGGCCCGCTTTGCTGCCCAATTGACACTCTACAACCCGCGGAGTGAGGACTTTCCTGAATGAGGCTTATTTGGCCCCCAACACAGCCAGTAGCTCATCACAAATCGTGATTTAACAACAAAACTGACGGCATGCGCTCTTACAACTCAACCTTTTTCAGTGGTCCTTGTGGTCGTGTGAAATGACGAGCTTGCGAGAGAGCGATGCCTCGACATCTCTCCTCCATGTTTCGCAAGAGGAGCATTTGATTAACAGGGAGGAGGCGCCTATCCCACTTGACACATTGCGACTTTCCAAGTGAGTGTGGAGAAAAACTTCGCAGATACGTTGCGATAGCCATTAACAAACAGCTTCTCATTGCAGGCAGCCTTCTATCGGGGACCAAAACGCATACCAATTGGTTAGCGAATGCGATACCCCGGACTGTGAAGCAGCGGCAGACGACTATTCAAAGCGTTCATCACCCCGACCACGGCCACCGACCAAGAAAAAATGGATTACTGGGTTGCTACTTTGCGCATTGGGAGTGGCACTGGCGCTACTTGCCCATGTCATTCTCACAGTCAAATTAGCTGCAAAAGCTGCTTCTGGTGGTTATGGGTGGGGTTCGTCGTCGGCAGTTATCTATGAAGGCACATGCCACCAGGCAAACCAAATCGCAACCGGCCTCCATATTCTGGTCAACATCATAGTTTTAACTCTGACCGCCACAAGCAGCTACTGCAATCAAGTCCTGGCAGCACCGTCACGCGCAAGAATCGATGTTGCCCACGCTCAACGGGTGTGGGTATCGATCGGATCCTCCAGTTTTACAAATGTCTGGTACGCGCCCCTGTGGCGCAAGACCCTATGGCTCTTGATTCTTGGGACGTCTTTGCCAGTTCAGATGATGTATGTTTCTTGCTGCGACCGCTGGGACAGGTATAGCTAACATATTATGTCTTCAGATACAATTCCTTCATATACGTATCAATCAACGCCAATGACTTCGGAGTTGTTGCTGCGCCGATGGCTTTTGGGAATAACCACACAGACTTGTCTGATTTTGACATCCCTTCTGACTTCCACCACATAGTTGGCATGAATGCGAGCAGCCTACATAATGATCTCATATTGGGTAAGCTCGAGAAATTGAGCAATGCCACTTGCATGAAAGCCTACAGTGGTGCTTATCAAACCGCCCGGTCCACAGTCGTGCTTTTGACTCCAGATCTTTCCTCAAACCTAACGGTCTGGTCATGTCAGGTTGGATTGGGCGATGGTGGTGGCCTCTCCACCGGCACTGCCTACAAAGGCAGCGAACTGAGTTGCGCAATGGATGAATATCGAGGCAACTATACAGTTGGGCCGCCGGTCAGTAACATGGAGTACCTCAAAGTTCATGATTGCTTCAGTCGACCGATTACGCCAACTTGTGAACTTGGATGTAGTCTGCCCATTGGCTTAGTGGTAATGGGCTGTATTGCATTGAAGCTAATATGCATGCTTATCACTGCCCTGGAGCGTCGATCAGAGATTCTTTTGACAGTTGGCGATGCCCTTAAGTCGTTTTTGACATGCCCCGATCCTTACACGTCCAACAACTGTCTCATGTCTCGAGTCAATAAAGGACAGCCAAAGGCATTGCTCGCCTTCAACGACTATCCCTGGGTATCTATATTCTCCCGCGCCGTGCCATTCCGCTTGGGACAGCGCCCGACTCCACAGCCGAAAAAGATATGCACGGTTCGACAGAGATGGTCAGCTGCGCTGCCACGTCGACTGTTTGTTTTCCTTCTATTTTTCAAAGTTGCCCTTCTTGCCATGGCGGGTCTTGCGTTGGGTGATAATACCTCTATATTTGGCATTGGCCAGGCAGCAGACCTAAATTCAGAGGGCATGTCATCATGGGAACAGAAAATGACATCGTTGTACCACACTCAGTTCTACCCACTAGGATATATGGGATTCATTGCTACTGTATTGGCTGTAAATGTCCCGCAGGCTGTTATTACGATAATCTATGCGGTCTACAACAATGCTCTCACTCGGATGCTACTTGTCGCCGAATACAACGATTTCGGCGTCGAACGCAAGCCCCTTCGAGTCTCATTTCCCACTGGAGAACAACGCTCTACCTACTACCTCTCTATACCATACCGGTACAGTGTTCCATTTGTCGTGCTCTCCACTCTTGCCCATTGGCTTGCCTCTGAGGCCTTGTCATTCGTGCAGATCATCCCTCGGGATGCTCAGGGTAATCTAGATCGCAGTCGCGCCTTGCGTGGGATGGGTGCGTCATCTGTCGGTCTAAGGGTTATGGTTATACCCTGGCTTATTGTAATTGTGGCTTTCCTCATTTTGATGTTTCGGAGGTTCAAATCGGCCGCTATGCCGATTGCAATGAACTGTAGCGCGGCCATCAGTGCTGCTTGCCACCCGCCACCTGATGACATCGATGCCGCAGAAAATCCTGTAATGTGGGGACAGGCTGATATTGAAATTGCGAATCTTCGTACATTCCTTGGGCCTGGTGTAGCAGAGATCGAGACAAAATGCCGCCATACTACCTTCACGTCAAAAGACGTTGTTGAGCCAAGTCCTGAATTTCTATACTACTAGAATAGAGAAAGAAGTGGAGATCATGGGACTGTCAGCTCCTCATCAGAATAATAACAAAGTCCGGTCGAAGATACGAACGTGCCTTCCCCATTAATACTGTTGCCATCCACTTCAGAAGAGACAGATCATTAAGCTTCCAGATGATTCTAGCTAGAGCACAGACTTGGCATAGCAAGTAACAGCGCCCAAACAAAGCTGGCAAAGAGACAGAGAGATTTAGAGTCCCCTCACTCTCCAGGATAAATTGTGTTACCCTGCCGTCTGATCTCATCCATGATATCCATCATATATAGTGTTTCAGCCCACGGCATGATCCTGCTCTCTTTCCGGCCTTCCAGGATATCAAGCGCTGTTCGTTCAGCCTCATGAACAAAGCCACGCCCCAGGGTCGGAAACTCAAATTTCTTCCCTTGACACATCTCCCTCAGGAAAAACGCACGATCGGGATTTCCTTCCTGCTTCGTCCAAACAGTAAAAGATTCCGGCGCAGATGGCGTCCCACCTTCGATCTCAACATACCCATCGGTCCCGTGTATAACAGCAAAGACTTCACCAGGAGCACCGAGAGCTTTGGTGGTTGAAGTAACGATGCCCTGCTTTCCAGTCGAGGAATACTGCAAAACTGCACTGGTGGTCACTTCGACTCCTTCTTCATGGCTTTGCGAGGCCAGAATCCGCGGCATTTCTGCCTGATCAGGTACACTTCCACCTAGTGCCATTCTCGCCCAAGTAAGCGAATACACCCCAATATCCAACAAGGACCCTGCTCCTAACGCGAGGTTGCGGTATCGAGATGTGGATGGAAGCGAGGCAATATCAACCCCAGACGCAAAATCAGAGAACACGCGAAAGACATCCCCAATGATCTTCTCTTCATGGAGCAACCGCTGGAGTTCGATAAAAAGTGGTCGATGTCGGAGCCACATTGCTTCTGCCACGTATACATTCTTTTCACGCGCCGCATTGAATATCTCCCTTGATTGTTTGGCATTCAAGGTAAAAGATTTCTCGCACAAGACATTCTTCCCTGCAGAGATCGCCTCCATGCAATCGCGATAATGAAACCCGTGGGGTGTTCCGATATATACTATATCCACGTCTGCATCCCGATAGACTTCTTCATAAGAGCTATAGACCTTTGGGCTTTGTTTCGGGCAGTATTCTTTCGCAAATTCTTGGCCCTTTTCAATATTTGAAGTGCCAATAGCTTGGACAACATGCTCTACTTTGGATTCCGGCCAGTCGAGGACCAAATCCTGCACAAACCATGAGGATATCATGCCGGTGGCTTATAAAAAGCGTTAGCTTATCACACATCAACAATCACCCTTGGAACACAGAGAGCCTTGATGGATAAATCCAGACTTACCAATGATACCCCAACGAACTTTGGGTAGGTTAGACATGACTTCTATGTTCTGTGCACCAAAGATTGCAAGAAATAATCTATTTTTTGTTCTAGTAGATGGAAAAAGACATAGATTATGCTGGGGCTCATAGACAGCTTTTTTATCAAATTTCTGTAGTACAAACCTGGAAACCAAAACCCGAAGGCCTCTTCTCATTTCAACCAATATATAAGGCTACCAGAAGAAATGCGCTTGTCTTTTGCCCGAACTCCGGTGAACCCCTCATCTTGGGGCATTGTCTATAAAAGTCTCGGGAACCAAAATCCGCGTTTAAAACCGACAACCACCAATCGTTCTATTCTCCTACATTTTAATATTACAGCAAGCCTACATATACACTTCATATTTCAGATCAGGACACAATTTGATTTTTTGGGGGTTTCTTTTCACTACCGCTTGGATCACGCACTAAAACATAAAACAAAAGAGAAAGGAATAATGCAACAAAACAGTAAACTACTACCCATAAGTACTACTAGAGACCTCCAAAAATCTCTACTCACCAGGGAACCAAGGCTCGAGTCCAAGCTTGATGATATAAACCCCATTAATAATCGCTTCGGGTGGCACGTCAAGCATCCACCTCCAGAGATCCTCCAGAGCATCCTGATCACGCCTCTTCTCCTTGTGGTTAACAGCATAAAGCGTATACGTATCAAGGCTGTTAGGCGCCTGGATCCACATAATACGGACTGGCGAGGGGGGAACATCTAAAGTGCGCGAGGTATTTCCCTGGATTGTAAAGCTCGTAGCGAACTGTCTCCACTGTGGGCGCCACACCTCAAATGCATCTTTCCAATCTGGATCGATGCCGCTATCTGCAAGAAGAGCGCACATGCTCCAGACCAAGTGTGTAGCGCCGACATACTTCTCGAGGTAACCAACAAGACCAGGCTGAACCCCGTTTTCGCGGTGGAGCTGGAAACGGAACTGATTGAGACTTGTCTCTGGTGCAGCCTCTGGGTAGTGACAAAGGAGATTGCGGGGGGGAGAGCCAGTTCGCTGCGATGAACGGAGAATATCTTCCTCCGGCTCAAAGGCTTCCGCTGCCTCGATTGGGAAGCGTTGAGGCTGCTTTTGATCGTTGTCAGACTTGCCGAACTTCATGATTACGAGACGATCTGGTCTAATACTGCTAGGCTATTAAGACTCACCAGGCTATATGGTAAGAATGCCAGTGAGTGATGCTAATGATGTATTATCTTCGAGGCGAAAAGGGTGGTTTATATAGCCATGAGGGCTATATATTTTGGCTCCTAGAGTCTCAATGTATTATTTGATCTCAAAGATTCTCTTTGTCGTCTTTGTATCTACCCAAAAGCGAACTCAGGGCTTTAGATCACAATGCCTTTATCACGAGGCTTTTGCCGCTTTGTTTATAACCAGGAAGAATACCGTGTTGTGAGCACTAGCATAAAGAGACTTTTTGTATCTCTTGTTCGCTTGGTTTATATAGGCTAGCTATTTATAGAGGCATAGGGTCCTGCTAGGTCTAACGGGGAACAAGTTCGGAGCGATAGAAATCCTCTGATTTTTGATATTCGTGCTGCTTGAACCGACTCAAATTAGATTTAATTGTTGAAATAAGATGGAACAATGTTGCGAACATCCAGTATTGGATTATACCAATATTTATTGAGTGCCTTATGTCAAACCAGCCCTGTAATATTCTTCTGCGTAAAAAGCCATCACTTCCGGACATACTAGCCGATGCCCTTTGATATATATCTTTCTCGGCATTTTACCTACAACTTCATAGATCCATGGATATATACAGAATCTCGTGGAATAATTGCTCTCTCTAGGCTTTACATGGCGAGTTTAGACCTTACCAACTCCCACCATTTGGTCCCATAGGACCACTCCTATGAGGGGGTAGCTTCAGGTTTGCCCCAGGCCGAGTTGCACTGGACCGGGTTATACCATAGATCTAAATCTCAGTCATCTATCATATCGAGAATTCAATATAGATCATCCTATAATTTATTCAACAGCCAGGATAGAATTGTGAGCATGAGCCTATCAGAACTATCTGCTGCAAGGGCCACCTAGCCAGCTTTAATAAACTCCCACGCAACTCCTTTTTCTCCATGCTCAGCAACCACGAGCTCTCTCCCCTCCTCCCCCAACTCTCATAACCCAAACTCCAAATTAATGCTCAACAAGCAGCTCATGGCGTCTATCCGAGCTAGGCCTCGTCGAGAAATATTCTCATAGACTAGTGTACGCTAATAGCCCTTAGTTCATTTAAATTGAATTCCCAGAGATTGGCTATCAATTTGAAACTATTTTACCATATTGATCGTCTCGCCCTTGTAGGCCTAATAGAACGATCTTGCACCAATCCTTGCTTCGTAATCTGGGACCGTGCTAAACCAACAACCCCCTTCTTCTCATGCTCATGCCCATCCATTCTCTAATCCTCCTCCAGCGCATAATTGCCACCAGCAACCCTGTCAAAAAGATGGACATCGGGATACACACAGCCCAGAATTTCCTAAAGCCCACCTCTCCCACCGCCCAGTCCCCAGACATACTGAATATCGCCGCCGCTGTGCTGATCGGCATAAAGAATGTCCCGACGGCTGCTATAGCTAGCAGGATGTTGCTTTGGGCGTTTGTCCTCTCTGCTTCCGTAATGGTTGCATCGCCCATGATGTGATGGATGCTCTGCTCTATACGATCCGAGGTCGTCGCCATCGTGGCTTCGATCTGCTTGAAATCCCTTGTCAGGTCCCCTGCAATGTCCTCGACGACCACCGCTTCTCTCTCGCTGCCGTGTGGCATTTTGTCCCAGCCCAGCTTTGCTTTGTATCTACATGACGCCAGCACTGCCTCAACTTGGCCCCGAGACCAATTCAACCTCCTTCTCATGGCGAGCAATTTCCTCATTTCTGAGCGGTATGTCACCTGATTATCAGTGTTACCGCCGCCTTCCAAAGCCCAGTCGATCGAGTTGAGATCTCGCGTTGTGTAGGCATTGACCCGCATCCCCTCATACCCAACAATACCGTATAAATCCTGAAGTACGGCGAGGGGAACAGGAACACCGGAGCCCCCAGCCATGCTGGAGTTGCGCTTCATACAGTCCAGAAGGAGAGACTGTATCGAGGTGTAGCCCTGGTATGTGTGACCGGCGACGACATGGTACGATGCTTTGAGTTGTGCGGGGAGCCCCTCGAAATAAGGTTCTCTGTCCATCAGAATCACACCTATACGCGTGACATAGAGCATTAGCTTACCCTGTGATGAACAGAATTAGAATAACTAGGGGGACATGGGATTCTGCTTACCCGTCCTCCACGTCATCTTCTCAGCGTCGCTGTCAAACCACGCCGCCACTCTTGTCCTCGCAACCGCAATCGGTGGGAAAACAGTTTTTCGCCCTCCCGTCTCAACCCTCGGTATAGGGTTCAACGAACCATACGACTTGTTGCTCCTCCACATTCCGCCAGCCCTTGACGCGGCCTGTATATCCTTGTAGCTCAGCTCAAACGGGCGGTCAAATTCCCTGAGCTTGATGAAGTCGAAAATTTGGTGCTGCTGTCTTGCCTGCGAGGATGGAGTGGCGGGGATCTGCAGCTGTACATTGTCAAAATTGGACGTTGGCTCATCATAGAAGTAGTCGTTGATGAAGCTGAGAATAGAGTGTCGGTCCGAAGGATCGTCGGATGCGAGGGTTTCGAGAAGCCAGCGGATGTGAGCCACGTCTATGCTTTCAATGATGAAGAGCTTCGCAGCAACAGGCCCGCCTTCATCAGCTAATGATTGATGGTTATGGTTTATATTATTTATGTGAGAGTCGAAGGTGGGGGGTCTGGAGTTGAAAAATGTGACCCGGTCGACCCTGGTGGGTGCATACGCTGCTCCCAAGCTTTTGCTCGATCCAATGGTTTTAGCAATGAAGTTATGGAGGTTTGAGAATGTTTTGTCTTCGCCCTCTTTCAGGATTTCTTGAAAGGTGAGACCCGAACCATCATTGCTAAACTTGAACTTGGGATCCATGATGGTAACGGTCATATTAGTTGAATTAGGTGGGAACTCTGCGGATATAATTTTCAAGGTATTTCATCCATATTTAACCACATACTCTTCTGTAGTTGAGGTATGAATGCGCCTAATGAGGCAGTGTAGAAATGTCTCATGCAAGATGCCCACCTAACTGCAGCTAAGAGGTGTCATGCATGCCTTGGTATCACAAAATACATGTCAACTGATACTGGCAAATAGTTGGATCATCGTCCCCTTGACTTGCGTGTTGGTTAAGGCCAATTGACTGTCTCAAAACCTGCATACACATGTGGGCTATGCTCTCTCGGCAACGCTGCATCCAATCACCTCAGTAGTAGATTCCTAATAATCTCCATCAGCGATTGATCCGGAAAAGGCGGTGTGTCTCTTGCTGCTGATTAGCTTTCCGTCGCAAAAGACACAAGCATAGCCATTGCCATTTGTCAATTAAATTTGTGCTCTTCAATATTTGGGGCTGTGCAATATTCAAAGCCTAATATTTTAAAGGTGTTTATCGTTACAACACCTTGAAATCATATCGGTGGACAACAACTACCGAGAATATCGAAAGAGATTATATATCGGAAAGGAAATAAACATACACATGAATTTTAAAAGAAATATGGAACAAGAACCTATGTACACCGGAAATCCCACGGCCTGACACGCCACCACGCTACCGAGGGTAATTAAACACATACACATGTAGTCCTAAGCGGATAAAAAACAATTACTGAGTCCGTCGGGCCATAAAGTAGGTCAGAAGGTTAAGGGATCCTTCACGAGGAGGTTGGGTGACTTTTTGCACTCGCTCGGATCCGAAGGTGATGTTCAAGAACGTGCAGAGCTCAGTGGCATTCTTCCTGACACCGGGGCGCGGGTGTCCAAGCTGGTGCATCACCACAGCACCAATGCGGGCCAGAAGCTCGTCGTCGATATCAACACCGGGACGCGATAGGGACTGCTGGATAGTACTCAGGCCCATAATGGTAGATCGGTACGTCTCATCATTCTCGGCGTCCGCTCCGAGGTCCAGTCCCTGCAGAACACCGATAATCGCCGTCTGGGGCAAGGTCAAGAAGACTAGCTTGTCTACCACTTCCTCAAGGCAAGTGACAAAGTGGGAAGTGGACTCGTAGTGGCGGCGAGCCCGGATAATAGCTGCCATGGCGCGAGTGTCATAGGGGTGGAAATTTTCGCGGGTCCGTAGGAGCATGGAACGAATAGTGGCCAAAACTTGGGTTTTCACGTCGTGATCCTTGCGGTTGGAAGGGGTCGCTTCCAGTTCCACAAATAGAGCTTCCAGCAACGCATTGTAGTCCTGGCTTTGGGAAACCATCTCATCGCCATGGTATTGGATAAGTCCCTGCAACTTCCGATATCCCGATGGCTCCATGGTTCTCGAAACAATACGAGCGAGACCTTTATGGATCATTTCCTTGGCATTGGCTGGGTCCTTCGAACGCGGGCTGGGGCTGCGGTGACGATCAACCCACTTTCGCGTGCGTCGTGTGGACTCTTCAGACATTGATGATTGAGACAATGTAGACTGGGAGAGTGATGGAGGTATCGACTCAAATGATCTCTGTCTCGCTTCTGGCGAACGCGGTGTAGGTTCATTTGCCGTCACTTCTTCGAGGGCACTCGGCTTAGCCGCAGACCGTGGGACCGCAGGAAAATCTACGGTCTTTCCCAGGTATGGAGTCGCATTCTCATTGTTGCCATCGGCCCCATTCGTTCCCACATGGGGCTCTTGGGGAAGTACGACCTCAATGTCCATGATATTAGAAGCCGCTGGCTGGAAACGGCCCCTCGTTGGTGATGGGCTTGGTTGAAGCGGTGCCCGGCGTGTTGGAGACGGAGTTCGAACTTCAAAGTTCAAATCGGCTTCCTGCCTAGGGGCCAAATCTGGTGTAGGCAACCTAACTGGAGCGACTACCGGGGCTGAAATATCCTCGGAGATAGGTTGAGTCTCTACTTCACCGTATTCGGGTTGATCAGGGTGGTTGGGGGACGACTTTGAAGGGGTAAATTTTCCCACCGAGGCGGCGTAGGCAGGAGTCTCATGTCTGTCTGCGGTGGGAGTGGTAGGATCTTCGTAGATAACCATTGACTCAGGCTGGGTTTTGACAGTAGATACAGGACCAGAACCAAAGTTCGGATCTGGATGCGTGCGAGCAGGAGACATGGGTGCGGGAGACACGGGCGCGGGGGACACTACAAGATCTGGTTCGGGGGTATAAGCTGGAGGTGCGGCAACAACAGGTTCCTCCAGTACCATTGGTTCTGGTTCCTCAATAGGAACCGATTCAGCATGAGGACCATCCGGTGCTGAGTACAGAAGAGGCTGTGATGCATTGAGCGGAGGGCTTTCCAACACGACAGATGTAGGGGAATGTTGGTCCTCGGATGCACTTAGGAAATTTCCCTGGTGGGGGGTTCTCGCAGATGGCAGATTTGCCAGGCTTTCGTTCGAGTCACTGCGAGCACGACTCGCGGCCATAAGATCGTTGTGAGATTTGGACTTCGACAAATCGAGTTTCTTCGGCCTGCCCTTGGTTGTAGCAGTTTGTGTCGATTCATGTGGGCGAGTGCGAGTCGCCGTTAGGGGAGCCTTCGATGTAGGTGTTGACGGTTTAGACCTCACAGCCCTGGGGGAAGTGGTCGCTTGTCGGGTATACTGGGTAGATTGGGTACTACTAGACTGGGCTCGTGACTCAGGGCGACGAGCATAGGGGTCTGCGGTAGCAGGACGACTAATTTCTGGCCGTCGAGGCTTCATTGCCGGTCTCATAGGCGCAGAAGATAGAGACGAGAGAGGGGCCCCAGTTGGTACACTCCGAGTGGACTTGGGGGCAGGAGCAGGTGGCTTCGCCTCGGCAAAGGTTGGCTGAGCCGACTCAGATCGAGAAGGCATCTGGGCCTTCTTCCGAGCAGCAATAGCTTCTTGTAAAGCGGAGCGACTCTTGGCGGGGCTCTTTGCAGGCAATGCAGGTGCACCTTTTGAAGGGGGGTTGGGGTTCGACGAATCTTTTTCCAGCAAATTCCGCGACTTGGGGTCGAGGGTGTCTGCTATCACATTGGCTCGCTCCGGCCATACACCGTAGAACGTCCAGAAGGTGCTCCGCGTTGCTTCGCGCACACCAGGGTTCGCATCTCCCAATCCTTTCGTAATTGCCTTCTCGATGAGATCAAGGCCACCACCATGTTCAACTGCACTTTTATGATGAGCCTGGCGGATGATCAAAGCCTTTAGCCACCCTGTGGCGAACAGACGCACTCCAACATTTTTATCCTGGGTAGCGAACGAGACATGCTGCAAGAGGCGAATACTAAATGAAACATTTAGGATGACGACTTCAACAGTAGCATTCCCGTTTTGGGCGGCAATCTTTTTCAATGCCGAGCAAAGCTTCAACAGGTTCTGCATGATAATCTCGACCATTGAGTCAATCCTAGGGCCACATATCCGGGCAACATCTTGGATCAAAAGACTGCCGTTGCTAGACATTGTGGTTCGCAGAGAATTAAGAACCTTCAAAATACCGTCAAGGAGTGTCTTTACTGCATTGAGATAGGTCTGCGAAAATTCGTGTGGTGCATTTCCTCGAGTCAGTCTGCGGAAAAGAATCACATTCTTTTCACGCTTTGACCAATTGTCCTCGGATTCTTTTCCTTCAAACCAGGGGAGCATATCGCGCACGAGATCATCGATATCCCTCGCCGAGGCAACATCGAACGGTTCCAGACCATCATCGTCTGGCAAGGGTTGCTGGGGTGCTGGTGTCGGTGCTGGTGTGCGAGGTCGGTTGACAATTGGTGGCTCTGTGGGTGCGGAAGAGGCTATCGGTCGCTCACGATGAGCCCTAGAAGCTGGGCGGTTCTTTACAGGCTCCATCTCTGCAAGAAAGTCAGTACAACCAGGGCAAATCTCCAATGATATAAATAGAACGAATTACTAACCATCATCAGTCTGTTCCATAACATGTGAACGTGACGACATCACCGAAATCGAGCGTTCAGCCCTAGAGATTGGACGCATAGAGGATGCAGCATCGGGTTCAACGGACCCTAAACCAATACCCGAGAGGACAGCATTCGCGATAGATTTCCTCACACCTCGTGCCGCCATTTGCTTTTGCAGGTCAGACTTCGCTCTTGCGGGGCCGTTTCTGGGTTTGGTTAGGGGTATTCAATGAATAAAATGGGCAGGGGAATGACTTCACTCACCGGAACAGATCAATCACGACCAACTTAGCCGTATCTCGAACGGCGCTGTCGGCGTCCTCTAAGCACGAAACCAGGGAAGGAACATATTGACGGAACAACAAACCATGGTGCTTCGTCATCTGCAGGTCGAGATTAGTAGCTGAGACAAGCCTTGCAGGGTGCATAAGCCTACATTTGCCAGCCAGAGCATGCTCATCTCTTTCGCCCTGTGGTTTTTCCCAACCAGTGCAACTTCCAGAACATGATATTCGACTTCGTTCCCTGCAAACGGCCACAGTTCGGTGAATATTGATGCGGCCTGTGCTCTTATACGTTCCTTAGGGTCATTGAGACGCTCCAGAAGAATAGGATACAAGCTTTGGGCTTGTTGGACAATCCATTGTTCCTGGTCTTGGATTGCAAGGCGCTTCAGGAGATGGCCAAGTGTGGAGAACCCCGCCCCGAGAACAGAGTAATGTTGTGAGGCAATGGCGAGGCGTAATGTTTCGAAAATGGTGCGAATCGCTCCCTCCGGAACATTTTTCTGTTTAATATCGGACTTGACACTAGAAAGGTAGGCGATCTTAGAATCAACAGACAAGTTGGGGTTCTTGAAGGCCGCCAGTAGCTCCGCTGCCTTCGCCTCCATTGTCAAAACCGAGAGATCGATATGAACTCGGGTCAGACACCGAAGGGAATGGGCAGAAGAACGAGAGTGTATGTAATGGACGATCCAGGGGAATCAAAATGCGACAAGGCCAATAGCGGATAGGAGAACAGACTCGGATTTCGATGTGTCA